ATTATACTACTTGTACTATTTAAATTACTGCATTATATATCACTGTGTAACTTGTATTACTTATTATTATATAATTTATTATGTAATCTTCTATAATAAATATAATTAATATAATTAACTAAATATATATAAAAGTAGAAGATTATTTTTCTACTTGTATATAAATGAATTATATATTCTACCTATAAATAAAGATTAAATATAAATAAATATTTTAGTATTTTTACTTTTAGTTTTCTTTTGACAGAACTGAAAATACTGGAATATTAATCATTTGGATTGAAAGTTTAATATTACTTAACTTTTTTAGATTTATGTAAATCAATTTAATTAGAGGATGAAACTAATGGAATTGGTGGATTTTAGTTTTTAATTTTTACTAATTCAAGTTAATTAGCAAAGAGAAAAGCATACAGTAACCATCAAAAGAAATATAACATCATAATTGTTAATCATAATTTACATATATATTTTTTTTCACTTAATTGATAAATATAAATTTAACTAAATTAGGATACATACCCAGTGATCATTTATATATATCAAATTAGATTTAATTAAATTTGTAGATTATTCCAGAAATGTACCACTTTATCTCTTTTTAGTGTTGCGTTTCTTTTAACAGTTTATAATGGTTTATATTAAAATAAAATAATTACACATTTTTAAAAATTATACACAGTTTTTAAAATGTAAAGTATTTATTTATTTTCTTTCATTAATACTTTTCTTTATTTTTTTTATTTTAAATATGCCAAACTGACTAACAATAGAACAATGAGTTCAAGCAATTCAATTATTAAAATTAGGTCTTAGTTTATTTAAAGGAAATGGCTGCAAGAATTGGTGAAAATATTTACTATTCAAGTATTTAATAATGTAAATGATAAGGAAAAAACTGAAAGATCACATAAGTTAACTGACTGTGATGAAAGAATTATGATTAAGCATATAATAATAACAAATAAGTATTTCACAGGAGTAAGTGTTTAAAAATCTCTAAAAATTAATGATAAAATTGAAGTAAGTAAAAGAATAGTGCAGAGAGCATTAAATAAAAATGGGTTGTTTGCTAGTGCAAAATGTAAGAAACCTTTTTTATCAAAAACACATTGGAAAAAATGATTAAAATTTGCACAAAAATATCAGAAATGGATTGTAAGTAATTGGAGTAAAGTTGTATGATCAGAAAAGTCTAAATTCCAGATTTTTGAATCAGATAGCCATGCTTATTGTTAGAAAAAAAGAATGAGCTTCTTAATAATTAACATGTAAAGCCTACAGTTAAGTTTGGTGATGGAGTATTTTCGTATGAGAGTGTTTTACTTGTTTTAAAGTGGAATACTTATGCAAAATTGATGGAGCTTTGATACTGAATTGTATTGAAAGATCCTTAATAGGAATTTCTTAGATATGTTAAAATACTATAATTTAGACTGTGAAAATATTATATTTTAACAGGACAATAATCCTAAGTATATGTTAGAAAAAAAGAACGAGCTTCTTAATAATTAACATGTAAAGCCTACAGTTAAGTTTAGTGATGGGAGTATTTTCGTATGAGAGTGTTTTACTTATTTTGAAGTGGAATACTTATGCAAAATCAATGGGACCTTGATACTGAATTGTATCGAAAAATCCTTAATAAGGATTTCTTAGATATGTTAGAATATTATAATTTAGACTGTGAAAATATTATATTTTAATAGGACAATGATCCTAAGTATACTGCAAAACATACTTTAAAGTGGTTTGAGGATAATAATATTCAATTACTTAGCTGGCTACCTTAATCTCCAGATTTAAATCTAATTGAATACTTTTAGAATGATGTAGACTGCCATCTTAGACAATTAGATGTAGAAAATTAGAGGTAAAAATACGTTATAAAAATATGTTTCAAAGATATAGAATAAAACATTATTAGAAACATATACAAAGTTAATAAATACGATGCCAGAGAGAATTAATGATGTTTTAAAAGCTAAGAAAGGGTATACAAGATAGTAGATTTATTTTTAAAAGTAATTATAATAAATTTTATTACATATTTTTGCTAGATAAAAAAAAATATATAAAATTTATTTTCATTAAAAAAAACGCAACAGCATTTTTTTTACATATCATTATGTAATTTTAGTGTTGTGATCTGTTAATCCGTCAATTCATCAATCCACAAATTTATCCAATTTGAAACTCATCTGGATCATCTATGAATCCGTTTTTTGCTCATCTGGATCAATCTGTTATCCATTACCTCTATGTTTAATGGATTGGATCTGAATCATCCAGATTGTGCATATAACTTTCTCATCTGAATTAGATCCAGATTTTCATCCAGATCATCCATTTATTTTCAGACTGGATTGAACGGATGACAGATTCATCCAGATTGTAACACTATGTAATTTAAAAATTTATCCAATTAAAATTATTTAAAATTAATATATTTATATATTACATCATATGGTAAATAAAATGTATATATTTGTTTTATTTCAATTGGATTTAATTTAATGGATTTGCACATAATTTACAGTTTACAATTATAGTGTTGCGTTTTTTTTGACAGCCACTGTAAATGATAATAAAGGTAACAGATAATTTTCAAATATAGCAAAAAAGCAAAAAAATAATTGCTATAATAAGAAAATATGACTGAAATTATTGATTTAAATGATTTAAATAAAAACCAGTATATTAAGTAATGTTATTAAAAAGTAAATATTTAAAATATAACTTGTTAATAAATATTCAAAAATAAAGAAATAATAGAAATTACATTAATTGAAAAGCAAAATTAACTGCTAGATTTGTGAAATTTATATATTATATTTTTTATATTATTTTTTTGCCAATTAATAATAAAATATATCAATAATATTTTAATTTATTATTACTACAGTATTACTACAATAGAAAAAAAAGAAACATAATAATCTGATAATCATATAACTAAATATATAAGAAAGATGAAAAGTTGAATTTATTTTTAGTAAATTTACTATTATTAGGGAGATCATAAAAATGAAATGATTAAGTGGAAGAAATCTTTTAGTAATTTTTTTTATTACTTTTTTGCGCTTTTTTTTTAAAAAATTAAAAATTTTAGTGTAAAATTACAGTAATAAACTTAGATTTTGAAAATTTGATTTATATCTTATTATAATAAATAAATAACCAAATAATAAATAATAAATTGTAAATAAGTTTATTAAGAAATAAATATAATAAATATATACAATTAATTTCATTTTTACTATAAATACAAGTACATAAAAAATGCGTGTGATTAATTATAAGAAACTAATATAAGTCATATAAAATTACAAATTATGTGACTTAAATAACTGTACTGTACAGTAAATTTGAATAAAATTTTGTATAATACAGTATAATGTTTAATATAGTATTATATAATACTATACTGTATGAACTTTTTGTTAAAACTTACCATAAAATGTTAACCATAATTAAAAAAGTGTTGTAACATAAAATTTTTATATGCTGTAATTAATTAAGATTATAAAAATCTTATAGCTGTAATTCAAAATTTTTTAAAAAATAATTAAAACTAATATTTTTAACTTATTATACAATACAATTTATGGCTAGATCTACCTAAAAATTCTGAATATTACTAATTAGATTAATTAATCAAAATTCTGATTTTGATTAATTAAAAAAAAAATTCTTATATGGTTGATTAAATATAATTAATTCAAAACCTGGCTATAAATCAATAAAAACTAAAATTTGTAAATCATTAATGAAATTTATTTAATTGGCATTTTGTGGATAAGGTATTATTTTATCCAGTACAACAAAATGAAAATATTACCCAATATTTTATAGTATATCTTTATGATGTTAGTGAATTCTTATTATTTACAAATTTTTACTGATTGATATTTAGATTACAAATTAATTAATTTTTAATTGATTATGAACTACCAATTCAATTTGGGTTTAATTTACAAAATAAACTTTTAAATAATAACTGATTATTTTTTAATGTTATTATTAAAAACTAAAAGTTATTTTCAATATTAATTTGTACTTTTACTCAAAATCCTCTTGAATTTCTTGTATTAAACATTATAAATAATAGCAAAGCAGTTTATACAATTTAAACATGAAATTCTTACTATTAAATTAAATAAAAACTGATAATGAAAATTCTCATACATAAAAATAAAAATAGATCAAGATTTTGAAATTAACAACTAATAGAATTATTCCTATAAAGAAAAGTAGATAAAACCTGTTTAGTAAGTTTCAATTTATATTAAAAAAATTCTTTTCCAAACTTACAAATATAGGATTTCCTCTAAATATACAAAAAGAAGAAACTAAATCTATAATTCCAAATTCCAGAAGGCAACTACAAAAAAAGTTCCATCAGAATTCTCATTAATAAATTGTTGCATTTGGTGGTACTTTTTTTGATTTTATTACTTTTTTGAAAGGTAAAAAGGAGTTTTGCTGTGTAAATTTTGCTTTAAAATACTAACAAATCACAAATCTAATTACATCACTAGAATAAATGAATAATATTTTTTATTTATCATGAGTAAAAATTATGGAAAAATAAAAAAAAAATTTAAAAAGTCCGTAACATACCAAGTTTACCAAGTATAGTTAGGCATCATACTATACTTATCGGTACGACAATATACTATATAATAATATAGTTAGTAGTTAAAAAGTGATCGCCTTCTTTTTAAAAATAGGTCTATAGCAAAAATCAGAAAAGCAAATTACTATTTAGTCTTTACTGCAAAGAAATTATCCTCATTTCATTAATGAAAAGCGCTTCAATATTATCAGTTATAATGAGGTGTATATTCAACCGAGAGCAAATTAGAAATATTTATTCTAATACAATTATCAACAACATCAAATCATAATATAGATATTTGTAAACTCAGTTTATATTAATAATATTGATTCATTTATTAATAAAGTGTTTCATAAATTTAGTGTAAATATTATTGTCGCTTAAACATTGTTTATTTCAAGAATATTTAAAATTTTTACCTTTATTGTTATTTTTTTATATATTGTTTACTTACTCCTTATTCCCGATACGACACAGATAAAGCAAAGCATACTAAGTGATACAATGGTGTTACCACAAATTATATTTAAATTTGATTATTTTAGCTTTACTCCTAAAAATCTAAAAAATGACTGTGTTGACAAATTTATTCTACTTTATCTTATTATTCATAAATCCGTTGATTGTTTATTCTTATGATGTGATATTACATAATGAAACTGAACCTGGACTTAAAATCTATAAAGTACATACTTATAGAGATGGGATAGCGGTTGTCCATTTAGTTAAACCAATAAATGAATCTTGTATTGAACCACGAATTGATCTTCGCATTTTACATCCAAATGGTACTGTTGATAGTGCTAAAGTTGATTATCCGATCCCGGAATATAATTTTTGTCGTGGTCCCAACGGATTTTATTGGTTCGACATGATCCGTTCCTTTCCAAGTTCTATAAATATACTTTATATAGACATCGCTTCAGCAAGTTATTATGTATTATTTGCTACTCGAACGGGATATGTTATTAGGTTTGTTACACATCCATTATGTTTTAAGTATATACTACATATGTATATTAACTTATTTATTGAAATTTTTATATTTGCAAGCAATACATACGTGGCACCTATCTCAATAATAAATGGAACTATATACGCCGACGGCTATCTCGTAACTCATACAAGCGAAGAGTGTGGTTTTATGTTTGTAAATTATGAAACTGAGACTATTGTAATGTGGAAGTATTTCAGTAAACCGTATGCACCATTATTATTGATGTTTATTTTAATAGTATTAAAGTAAATATGAAAATTAATTCATTCTTTTTGATTTATTAGGGACGATAAAGGAAATTTTAGCCTAATAAATGAAGGAAAACATTATCTGCAAAATTCATTAGCTAATTATTTCGTATTTCCCTCAATTGATGGAAATTTTGGTATTGTAATTGTAAATTCAACAGATATCAATATAAACCCTAATGAATTCATCAATCCGTCTAAATTTACGTCTAAGGCTTATGTCACTTTTATTAAACCTGTTATGAAGAGTGTGGATGGCCCTTTCTTAATTTACCAATCAGCGATACCTCATTTGGAAGTTCGAAGTTTTTGTGATACCGCTTTTGCGGGGATCGGTAATACTTGCCTTTTAATATTTAACAGAGTAGAAGATGAAAATACGTTAGAAGTTATAAAACTGTCATTTCAAGCTTCAGGGTTCGTTATATGTTATATGTTTATAATATTTCTTATAACTTTAATTACATGTCTAATGATTTGTTTTTTTTATTCTTAGTTCTGTATTTGATATGAGAAAACTTGGTGATAAATTTGTTGATGTAGATATAGTAACTTTTAATGGTTTATTTCACGGAGGATATTTAATAACTTTACGTGATAATCAACGTAAGACTATTGAAGGAATAATACTTGATAATGATGGAAAATATAATGGCACTTGGGGATTTCCACCAGGTTTGAAATCATCTGGTTCTTTTGGAGTGACAATCTTTCTAAATGGGACACTGCGTTTAGTTACTTTCGAGAATGAAATGACTTTGAAAATTTCTTTTACAACTTTACCTAAATTTTTCTCGGATGGTAAGCATAATATAAGTTGTTATATGCAAATAATATTTTTTAGTTAAATTAATTGTTTTTTATTTCCTTAGATTATGGATATGAGAATCCGCACATTAAATCAACTTATCCATCAATTAGCTCAAGTATACCCTTATCAATCACAAACATAAATATTACGTATCATTTGTCTGTAACGATATCAACCAACAACGTTTCAATTTATCAATATAATAATAATGACGGTCTTCCTATACTGCGTCAATCTGTCCCGGGAAATTCACCATATTTTTCGTATAGTTCTGATAAAATGACAATAAGCATGAAAGTTTTGGGAAGCACATTTAATCAACCAAACTCAAATTATTATATTGTTGTTGATGGTAATGTGGTCAGGGATTGGACGTCAAATAATCCACTATTAGGTGTTGAAAGAAATCGTTGGAAATTTAATACAAGTAAGCATATTTTAATATCCGGATAAATTATACTAGTTCTTTATTAATATCAATTACAATTCCTTTTATTTAGTAAATATCCAAGATAATTTTGCAGGTAAAAAAATGTTTTTTTATAAAAAATATTATAATTAATTAAATTGATTTTATTCAATTTTAATAATTTTAATGTTTCATCATATTTAGAGGAATCAATTGGAAGATTTTCTTTAACGGAAGAAGGGACAAAATCTTTTGAGAAACTTTCATTGGATGGACAGAGAGAATTTTTATCACAATTAAGAATTGATTTATCAGAATCAATACCTGTCGACATTAATAGATTAGATTATGTAAAATGTTGTGAATATGATAATAGCCAACAACCTCCAAGAATTCTTTTATCATTACCTATTAAATCGACAACAAATCCATATGAAAGAAATGTTGATCATATTATAAAAGATTTAGATATTTTGATTAAACACAAAGAAGTAACTCCAATTTCATGGTTTGGTACAACAAATCATTTAGAAGCTAGCTTTGGATTTCAGAGATATAGTAATTATAATTATTATTACAAGAATTTTCATTATTTAAATTTTAATTCTTTTTTTATTATTTAGAAAATTTATTGGATGATTTTAAGTTCCATTTAATTGGTATTGTTATTGGAATAGTAATTTTAGGATTCCTTTATATTTACGCCAAGAAGAAATATCCCATGGTAAAGTACTTTATATATCTTTTTTTATTATTATTATCCGTAACTAATAATATATTACTTATATATAGGGTGAAAATATCGTAATATTTAAATTTCCCTTAATTATTTTGAATTTTATCATGGGTATTATGTTTATTTTGAATAATGGAAAAAATGTTCCACAATTATTTATTCCAAGGTATGATCCATCTTCATTTTCAAAATTTTTTTTATATCAATTAAATTTTTAATTTTTGTAAAAAATTTTTAATTATAGCATAATTTTCTTCGTGATACCAATAATAATTAATTTTATTATGGCTGCAATTATAATGCTTCAAGAAATTAAAAAAAACAGAGATTTCTATGGATGGTTTAAAAACAATGTTGATATGGCATCGTTATTTACCATATTATCTGGTACTAACCTTGAAATGTTAAATATACTTTCTTCTCAAGTTGCTGGTATAATGTTATTCAATGCTCCTATATCAGAAGAAACTCAATTTTATATTTTTTGGGGAAATTTTATTGGATTATTTATTGGTGATATCCCTCAATTTATTATTCAGGTTTGTAAAATTTTTAACATTATTATACATTATTATATTAAAACTAAATTCCATTGAATTTAAAATACATTTAGGTTTTCTACATAAAGTTGGTTGTTAATTATGATATAATTCCTTTTCTTACTCTATCAACAAGTTCGATTATTTTAGCGAATAATATAATTTCAAAAATATATCATGCTATAGTACATTTATATTCAAAAAAAAGGAAATCTGTTATGATATTACAAACTGAAAAAATATTATGTAATGAAAATTCCAGTATTACAGTTCCACGAAAGATAAGAAAAAATGTTAGATATTCAATGTAAATAATATTTCAATAAAATAATTACAATAGTAAATAATATACAGTTGGCTCGCGTTATAACGAATTTGGTGTCCATGCTGATCTGACCTTCGTTATGGAAAAATTCGGTAACACTATAACGGATTTTTTGACATCCATATAGCAAAATTCGGAATATTGTATATCGAATTTTTATTAAAAATTCGTTAAATATTTTAAAGTAAATTTATGTAAATAAATGTAAATTATAATATATTTATATTATTTATTATTAAATGTAATACAATTATTATATTATATATTGTAAACATTAATGAAATTAAGAGATATTAATAAAATCATTAAGATTCTTTTGTCTTTCAGAAATAAAATGTTGTTTTAACGCTTCCTTCCTAAGTTTTTTAATGCATCTTATTTCTTCTTTTTTCATATCAAATTTATCCTCTTGTTGCTCTAAATACAAAATCACCTTATCATAATGTTCAATGTCCTCGCTATGATTAATGGATGGTAAAGGATCAGAATTTAGTTCTTTTACCTTTTGTTCATGATTATTGGGAAGAACTACTTTCAAAATTTCTTCATTGGATATCATTTCTGCTGTAAGTTCAGATTTATCACATTGAATAAATTCATCAGCAGTTAAAGGATTTTCAAGATTAAGTTTATCAATTAAATCTTGAACTTCTTTCATCTCATTTGTATGTGTTAGAAGAACTTGTGTTTCAGCACAGAAATCCATATCAATTTCACTTTCATTATCTTTAGGTAAAATATCTGCTTTTAACCAGCAATTTTCAATAGTAGATTGAGTAAGTGCATGTGACATATTTGATGCACTTTTTGATATTAATTTCAACAGGGTTAATGTCAAATTCATTATAATTATCAAAGGCTTTAACATGATTTCACAATAATAATTTTCGGTATTGTGCCTGAAATAAAATTAAATTTTTTATAGTTAATAAAAGGATTTGAAATTACTAAAATATAAGGTGTAGATTTAAAGTTAAAGTATGAATTCAACTACCTTGAAACTGTTAATGATCCCTTGATCACATGGCTGGAAGTGTAAAGTGGTATTTGGAGGAAAAAATACAATTTTAATATTAGTTAATTTTATATTTTCATTGAGAGAATGAGTTGGTGCATTATCAACAAGAAGAATGATATTTCAGTTCTGTGCTCTCATTTGAGCATCAAGCCTTTTAAGATATGCATTCCAGATCAATACTTGCATCCAACTTTTTGAATTCCAATAATAATTTATTGGAAGAGTAGTTTTGTTAATATTTTTTAGAGCCCAGGGATTTTCATATTTGTGTATGAATAAGGAGCGTAACTTTTTAGTTCCAGTTGCGTTACAAGTAAATAAGACCGTTATACGATCCTTAGATTGTTTCGTTCCAGTCACAGGACCATTAGATATGGTGTGATTGGGTCGCATTTCCAAAAAAAACCTGTCTCATCACAGTTAAAAATATCATTGGAATCATAATTTTTTAGAATTTGGCAAAAATTTTCACGCATTATGTCAAGTTCTGCAAGTGGTGCACTTGCCGCTTCTCCATGCATATTATACAAAATTTCAAACTGTGTTACACAAGGGATGTAATTCCGGCCAGAATTATAACTTGGCAGGATTTATGCCGATCACATTTAATTCTGGCCAGAATTATCAAATATATACGAATCGGTTATTCAGTTTCAATCAGATTTTGCAAAATTAGTTTGAAATGGATTGAACCGGTTGCGCCCATTTTAAATTTGGTTTTCGAAAATAGAACCGGTTCCAAACTCTATTCTGTATATAATTTTAATAAACTGAAATTCTGCACAAAAATCATAAATTTTTTTCTTCAAAGTTTGATAGTATATCTTAAGATTTGTGTAGAAAAATTAATTTGCAAATCTGAAGATTCTAAAAATTTTCTGATAGCTTAATATTAATTTTATACAGAAGTTTGTATATTTCATTAGTAAATCTATTAACAATTCCAAACTGATAAATTAATAAAAATGCTAACTATATAACTTAGGTAGATTTAGATTAAATCATAAAAATCTTGACATAAGTTTTATTTATGTAATAATTGATTTCTATTGAAAGTAAAATTAATTATTAAAACTACTGAAATTTCTATTTAAATTACTATTATTTATAAATTTACCTCAAATTCATTAATATTTGAGTCAGTAAGTATATCTTTATTAGTATCCAAAATTAATTTTGAACAGTCCAAAATTATCCAATTAAAAAAACTAATTGGACATAATACTGGCTAACTGGAATTTCAAAATATAAAAGTTTAGTGTAATTATTCAAAAAAAAGATATTTCTTAAATTTGTGATAGTATAAACTAAGATAAGTTCTTTTTAAACTACTGTATATTAAATCCTATATAATTAAAATAGTATTCAGTTTTCTAGTTAAGATTAATATCTAGATCTTCTTTAATTTCTAACTTCAAGTAAAAATACAAAAAAAAAATAAAAAAAAAATAAAAAATACTAATCACAAAAATTTTAACTTAAATAATAAATATATTAATAAATATTAATTATAATAAATTTTTAAAATCATATCCGCCAATTTGCAAAATTTGCCGATCATCAGTTATGTGACGCAGTATTGATTAAAATCGATCAAAACCCGTTTCTACATAAGAAAAAATGTCAAAAAATATATAAAAAAACTTTTAAGACCTCTCCCAAAATATTTACCTCTTTAACCCGAAGCCAGTAGAAGGAGTTTCTAGAAAAAAAGGAAAAAAATATTATAAAGTTAGTTTATTAAAAAAAATAAAGAAAAACTTTATAAAATCCAGAATATTTAATGATTTAACAAAAAAAAATTAACTGAAAAATAATTAATAATAAATATCAAATAGATTTTAATTAAATAATTAATCAATATATAATCTAAATTCGCTAAAACATCATTATTAATATTTAGAGTTATTTATTGATTGAAAGATTTTTTTGAATAATTTTGCTTTTTAAATAAATTTTTTCTATAAACTATAAAAAAAAAAATAAAAAACAGCTTCAAGTTGTATCTAATATTGTTATTCTGTCAACAATTAAAGCCGACTGAAAAACTTTAACGCTTTAATAGATTAACTGGAATTTAACTTAATAGAAGAGTCTTAATTGCCGATCCGCCTAAAAATGGCACTGCGTTACTAATAAAATTCGGGGATAATAGCGATAATAAAAAAAAGCATTTTTTGCATCTCGCGCGCGAAATAAGTTTCACCCATTTTACAAACAGAAATATCATAAAAACAATATTTTCTTTCATTTTATGACAAGTCATATTTGCCAAAAAATTTTATAATTATATTTCTGTAACTGGTTTTCTTCAACTTTCACTTGTTTTTAATAATAAAAATATTTTAAAAAAGCTTTTAAAACCAACTTTAGAAGCTAAAAATTATAGGTTTTTATTGTAAATAATGCAATATAGTAAAATGAAATATTGAAATTTCGTATATTTTAAGGTGTAAATCTGACGCGCGCGCATAGTAAACTCATTATTTTGCATACGAATATATAACTTTTTTTTGCAAATTCGTTTTATTCAAGTATTTTTTCAGTATATCATATGATTTTTTTTTATAGTCAATATGTCATCTATGTGATATCCTTTTTTGAAGTTTGTGTTCTAGCACAAAATCTGCAAATTTAACCCCGAATTTTATTAGTAACGCAGTGCCGATTTTAGGCGGATCGGCAATTAAGTTGATTACAAATAATCATGTGAAATAATATTGGATGTTCAGTTAAAGAAAATAGGTTTTTATTAAAATAATGTAAGATTTTAGATGTGATGAAGAATATAGATAATTTCTTGGTTGCGAAATTAACTATCTTGAATTATACTACTGGGAATAATACTCTTTTCGTATAACTCAAAAATTACAATATGATTCTCAACTATTCGTAAAAAACTAATTGTAAAACTGATGAACTCTTCTTCAATTTAGTAAAATCCTATCACTATTTATAATATTACGCGTCTTATTTGTAACAACCCCCAATTTTATCCAATTAAAATTTAAGATCAGGCGTAATGTAAACAAAAACAAAAGATCATTTGTGTAACTAAGACAAAAGAATTTTTTAAAAAATTTCAAGAAACTGCTTATAACTTAAAATTTTGTCTATGAAACTGTCTTAAGTACATTAAGTAAAAGTTTTCCAAATTAAATTTTGAATATAAAAATTTTATTTGTAAAATACATACTAAATTTATTATTAAAAAAAATAAAAAAAGGATGTTATAAATAAGATATGTAACAGGCTGTTACAAATACATTTATTCATAAAATAAAATAAATATATCAAATAAATAAAATATAACAAATAATAAAATTAATAAAATTAATAAAATAAATAAATCAAATTTATCAAATTTATCAAATAAATCGAAAAAATCAAGAAAATTAAGAAAATTGAAAAAATTAAGGGATCTATGAAATGATCTACAAAATTGATCTACATAAAATTACTGCACCATATTTCTATTTTAGCAATATAAAATAATTACTAATATATTTGCAAAAATTCTCAACTTACTCGATGTAAAAACTGGTTGAAAAGTTGATGGGGGAATTGATGGGGAGTTTAATAGGAAGTTTACGAAAGAAAAAAATTTTTTAACACTACTTTTTGTTGAAGTAATTTCTTAATATCTGTCATATGATCATGTAGCACAAGTGTGATCATTTTTGCAAAACTTAATTTACCTAATTTTTATTAAATTATTGTCAAATTCCTTAATTTAAATGAATTTTATTAATTCTGCAGATCGGCAGATATGTTTTTGTTAAAAAATTAATATTAGCTTTAAATCTTAAATCTTCTTTATAATTATTATATTAGCAAAGTAATAAAATTATTAGCTGAATCATTAGAATGTTTTGGTATATTTTTATTTTACCTTCTAGTTTGCTGGTTAAATCAAATTAAAAGTTTAATAATTTATCATCAAAATATAATTATTAAATAAAAAAAAATATATTTTTTTCATATTTGTTGCTTAAAGCTACTCAAAATTTAAATTATTCAAATTCATAGAAATGAAAATACAACTAACTTTAAATCTGATCATTATGGATTTTTTATTACTTTCTCTATTTAATTATATTTTATTTAATTTTAGTTACATTTATTAAATACATTTTTTAAAACTTTCATAAACTATAATTAGATGAGAAACATATAATTCTGAATTACTATTTAAAATATTTCTTTTATCAATTTTATTAAATAAAGATATCATTAAGTATTTGATTGAAGTTTTAATTTCTGACATTTTTATCAAATTTATCAAATTTGGATTTTTATTTTGAAAAAGGAACATTTTTTGGATATTTTTTTTCTTTTCTGAAATAAATTTAGACTTATATATAAGTTTTTTAGTATTTTTACAATAAACAGTTTGGTAAGAGTAGATTTTACATTCACGTATGGCTAGCCTAAAAAAGCACTGGTTATGTGACCATGTAAAATCATCACATCTGTGCATCCGTAATACCTCTCAGTGGCAAAAATTACTTTCTTGACCCTCCTCATATTACTTTCTTGACTTGATCAAAATATGCATGATTATGTATGACAAAAATGTTCTTTTCTTGACCTGCAAAAAACATTAACGCGTTGTTATTTTTCTTATTTTCATAATTTTTCAAGAGATATACACAAAGATTAAATTTTTTTATCATTAATGATTAATTTTTAAATTATTTTTTTTTTTTTTTTATTTTAATATTTTAATATTTAGTTTTATGCTAGTATTTATTACCTAATTAATGTATTTCTCTTAAATGTAATCTTTTTATCAGCTATCTTTTGTAAATAAAATAAAATTATTTTAATTTTATCAATATTGTAGAAATAAAAAAGTATTGACCATGCTCGCAACTCGCAAAAGACAGATTGCACGCTATTTTTGTTAAATATAAATAAAAAATAAAATATTTCTTTTTTGTTTATCACAATCGCGTTTCAGGTCAAGAAAGGAACATTTTTGTCATACATAATCATGCATATTTTGACTGGGTCAAGAAAGTAATGCGAGAAGGGTCAAGAAGGTAATTTTTGCCCCTCAGTGTTTTCATTGTAAAAACTTATTAGTCACACATTATTTGTCACCGCACTGTTCACGTGACAGTGAATAATTCCGCATAATGCTGGGCGACCAGTGCTTTTTTTAACGCTAGGGTAGTTTATATGGCTTTGCTTTGAATGAGTATGATTGGTAGCAGCTAGATTCGCATTGTGTCATTTGAGTGAGAACTTATTTTTTTTTTCTCCCACACTCGTTGCGTTTTCGATAACTGAATCGGAAAATAGAGTACAGTACGTTTACATTTTTAAAATTATAAAAGTTAAGTCTAATGAATAAAATTATATATAACTATTTTTTTTTAATATATAGGTTTCATATCGTAACTTTGTAGCTGGCACTTAAAGTGAATGTATGCGAAAACATTATTATGAGGCTTTTCATACTTCAATGTCTTTCATGATAAGAAAATAGGATCATATGAAAAATGTTTTCAGAACGTAAAATCATATCTTTTAATGTCCGATGATTTAATAATATATACGTAAGTTTATAAACAAGTTTTTGAATATTTATTAATTATATATTACAATAAAGAATTCTTATTTATAATAATTAATTCTAATCCAGCCGGGATTCAGATGAAGGAAGGCCAATGAAGACCTGTGGATTTTTTGATTACAATACCTCCAAAGCTTCTACTTCACAAGACAAAATCTACTCTATATCGCTCTCAATCATTACGGCTTAATCGAAAAAAAAACACCAAATTTGAAAATGAGCAATATTAACAACTAAGGAAAGAATACAAACAACAAGTTCTATTACTCCTGGGCATTCGAGAAAAACTACAGAAGTAACATCAAAAGCAATAACCGAAAAGCTCTAAAACAAAGATTGATGATGATAGTTGAAATTGAGAAAAAGAATCAAAGTCACTTTGCCTCCAAGAAAATGAAACGGGAACAAAAATAGTATTACATAGCCTTCTAATAATCGTAATAATCGTGCTATTAAATCCTCCCGATCAAAAAAATAAAGTATAGACGATGATGGTGATGAAAAAGGTATGGGAAAAGGACGAACGAATACTACTTCTAATATAATTCGGTGGTGATCAGTATAAAAGTCATATCTTAAAATGCAGGAATGTGCTTACTTGGCAAACCTTTGTTTTACTTCCTATCGTAAAATGCTAAAACAAACAAGAAAACAATTGGGATTAAAAACATCGGCATCTGCTAATTCAACAAACCTAGGACTATGATAAGAAATAAGAAATGTAATGGTGATTTGGTTGAGACAAAAACGAGAGACAGGGAATATTTTAAAAATTAATATACGCTTTTCACTTAGTGAGTCTGAAGCCAAAAATAATCAACTGATTAGGGCAACATCGAATAAATGCCACACTTAAGAAAGTTAACTATAAATTATTTACGTAATCTCAAAGGGACTCAAAATATGAGAATAACAGAGAAAACAAATAAAAAAATAGAATCTCTAATAAAAAATGTAAATAAATCTATAGAACTAATAATCAAAATCCCTTTAAAATAAATAAAAATAGAGATTCTTTCTTTAAAAAGTATGTGATGATACTCGATGGAGACGATTGTAGGTCCTAGAACTATATGAAATTTTCGTTTGGATACAATTGGAATTTCACAACAGAAGGGTTAAAATCGTTTTTTGAAAGTTAGAAATACCAAAAAAGATTTCCAATTAAATTTAAGGGTTATTACGGGCCGGATAGTGCATGGACAAATGAACATGATGAGTTGGTGGCTAACCGGAAAAAAAACCATGTTTATATTAATTTATTATATTTATAAATAAAATCATAATTCTATTAAATTATTGCTGTACATTATAAAATGAATCGAGCGGATCATAAATAATTTAAAGATTAAAAAACTTTTTTCTACTTTACGCTATGGTGTTGTTTACCCTGAAGAAGTATGGGATAAAGAGGCTATGTATCTTTAAACGGATTAAATTTTAAGATCAATAAGAAAAAAAGAAAATTAAAAATTTTGTTGATGAACGAATGATTATAGTTGACGGGACGATAAATGTCCCATAATTGCGGAGAAATACAATATTATAGAAAAATACAATAGTGTATTAATTTTCACAACTCTTCTGTGGAGCAATTGGAACTTGGAGGATACTTTAATTGCGTTACAAATTGTTTTTGATGTGTTAAAGACAAAATTTGAGTAGTATAGAAAGACTATACAATCGTATTTATTTTTTTGTAAAAGTTTTTTTTTTAAAAAAATAGAATATACATTTTATCGTTTGAAGAAGAAAAAAAAATATTTTTTTCTTAAAATGTATAAATTCTTTTATTTTAAAGTATTGAAAGGTGAAGCGTTAATTGAACCAGACTGTTTTTGATTATTAGCATTTTTGATTATAAAATGCAAATTTTAAAAATTTTAATAGAAAAAAAAAACAGAAAAACTTTGAAATAATGATAATACTTAACGTTAAGAAGGTTGAAAAACCTTTAATTGTAATTAAAAACACGAATTAAAATATATTGTAATCAATAGATAATAGATAATGTTAGCAGCCGAAACTTGATCCAAGATGCTCCCAAATACTTTATAAACTCTACTATCTCTTACAATTTAAATGTCAATAAATTCAAATCTAACAGAAACTAAAGAATTTCTTTAAATAAATACATATGTATAGGTTACTTCTAACTTGCCAGGAGTGTACATATCAACGTCATCTTGATCTATGATAATAACTGATAATGTTAAATGAATTTTTTATTTTTATTTTTAGAAAACAGAAAAGCGAACCCGTAGATTCAATTATACAGAGAACATAAAAGTCTATATATAATACTATCACTACATGGCAAGCCACCCCGAAGCGTGACGATTTCTGTTCTTTATGGAATAGGTGAACACGAGTCAGAACCACGAACTTTCCCAAGAACACCCGCCCTGATAATGTTAAATGAATCTACCACTTACAAATAGGGATGTTGGTTCAAGTAGAGCATGTGATGATAATCAATCTGATTGGCCTTAAATCGGTTCGGTTTTAAGCCCAAGAGATCCAAATTTAAGTTCGGTTCCAGAATCGACTCGAGTCGACTCATTTTGAACCGATTCCATCCCTACTTACAAATGTAAAATATATTCCTTTAAGAACATGGGAGTGAAACGTGAAAATAATGATTCAAAGAATTTTTTATAATGACTTTCCAATCCAGGTAAAACTTAGAATCTATTTTATAAAACTAAATATAAGTCTTAGTATACACGGACGATCCTGAGATGCAGAAGGAGATTGTGGAGTTGGCAACAAAATACAAGAAGAAATATGAGGAAGTGCATTAAAAGAAATGAAGGAAAGGGAGGATGCGACGAAAGAAAAGGGAGAAAAAGAAGAAAAGGAAGGGAAGGCCAAAACTATGAAACAAGTTACTCCAGTAGAGATACACGAATATAATACCGTAAACGCTTCATGCTCGACGAGGTTATTGCCTAACCAAAAAAAAAAAAATCTGATAAAGATTGCATAAAAGAGGGTAAGAAGCGGATTATCGGTAAGTAAGGTGATAGAAGCAAAGTAGAGGATGAAGAGGATAGTGAAGGAGAATGGACGACGTATCATGGAAGAGGTAAAGGTAGAGTTAGAGGTGTAAGAGGTAGAGGAACAAGAGGTAGAGGTAATCAAAAACAGTAGTGTGTAGATAGTTTGTGATTTTCTGAGTATCTTTATTTACGTGTTTTTCGTTGGTGGGATAGTATAGTTTTATTAGTATAGTGGACCGCATCACGTTATTGCACTGCCGCGTGAGGGCCTCGCGTTATTGCACTCCCGCGTCGAGGTGATGGTATGGAGAGATTGGTCAAACTTGATTTGGCCAATTTCAATGTATATGTTCTTGTAAAGTAATTAGTACTCTTACTTATTGCTAATAAAGTTATACGTTTACCACAAAAAAAAAGTCTTAGTATACACGTAATACGCATATAATACGCGTGTAATTGAGTTCTACCATCCGCTATTCTAATCTTGCGATGATTTTATCATATTCAACATTTGACAGGAATTCAGTTGACTTCATTTTGGATCCAACACGTTTCCTTGTTTGTTGGTCAAATCAGTGCTTTCAGTATGTAACTATTAAATAAAATTGTAAGATAACAAAAATGATCTATATTAAATATAAAATTTGAATACACAAGCATCACTGTATTCTCACAGATATAATTGTTATCGGATAAAGAGATAGCAGACATTGGTATTTTGTCTCGTTATTATTAAAGATAATTGTTATAGTGATAAAAGAGGTGTCATTAACAAAGAATTAAATATATAACATTTCTGAATCTTTAAAATTCTTTAAAATCGAGTATTAATGATTCCTGCTTTATAAAGCTCTTTATATTCGAAATGATCTATCTATCTTACTTTTCAAGCCCTTCTTCTAAAGCATTGCTTAAATTCTGTTCAGTTAATTGCCAGTTTAGTCGACGATAGCTGTCTTTATATCTCTATATTACTGTATATAAATTTATAAAAATATAACATACTTTTATCACTACTTTTATCCAATCAGTGTTCTTTATAATTTTGTAATCCGTATTTCAGTAATCTTTATTATTTATTGGGAATATACTTTAATATAGATGGTTCAAAAATTTACGGCGGCACAGTATTAATAAAAAGGGTGCGCTTAACTATTAAGTCCCTATAAAAAAAATTCTGGAAAAAACTCTGATAAATGATCATTTTCTTCATTGAATTATCTGATTAATGTATAAGAAAGTAAATTTAGGGTATCACTCGATTATGTTTTACAATTTACATATTAAATATTTAAATTGAAGTAATGGACCAAAAAAATTTAAGGTTATCCATTTATCCCCAATTTTATAGATTCAAGTTCTATTGGGCCGTTTACTTATAACACAGTAGAGAGTAGATGTGAAAATTAATATACAATATAGAGTATATATTAAATCACCCGTGACTTTACTTATAACGCGTCTTTTCCCTCATCGTGGGGATATTATTTTTAAATATGACACGGCACACTATATGTTGCGTGCTATGTCCCGATTATTCATGAATTTAAACAAGGTATTTCTTTTAAATGCAACTTTCATTGGATTATTTCTTTACAAATATCAATAAAATTTGTCATCTCATCGAGGATTTAACTTATACTAAAAATACAAAAACCTTCATATTTTCTCATAAAGAAATATGCAACTTACTGAAAAAAATTTAAACCAATGGAAGTTAAAATTCTTGCAATTTGAAAATAAACTGAATTATGTAAATTTATTACAATACGACAATTCATATTTCACAACCTTAAATTGAATATATTGAATATTTTTCTAAAGGTGAATAATCTAAAATAAATTAATTTGTTGTCAAATTATTACAATCATTTGTATTCTCCTTTTTATTTGTATATTGAAAAAATTTTTTCTTCTTTTTTTTATATCTTTATTTTTTAAAGAAATGGAAAAAGTAAATTCTACATCAGTTGAAGTATTTTCAACTATTTTAATGCTAACAAAAAAAGATAAGAGAAGAAAAAGAAACACGTGAAACTTTAACTTCTTCTCATAGAAGAGCAAAACAAGGCTTGTTTCCTCAAATAGAAACAAATATAGTCTTTGAGTAAGTTATTTTATATTAATTATAATATATATTTTTATGATTGTACGATTAAGCACCGAACCCAAGGTGGAGTTGAGTATTCCGAATAAATCTAACGGCACCTAAATCTTACGGGAATTAGTCCCGGTTGGTGAAATATTAATGAAATAAATTGATTGATTATTTCTTAGCAATATCATTAATTGTAATGCATTATATTTCTTGCTCTTCTACAATACTTTGCTTTCAATTCATTTAAAAATTATCCAAAAGTGATTCAAGTCTCTCTAATCTCTGATTCAAAAAGTTTTTAATTTATGTTCATGCTCATGATCAAATTATATGACATGAGGATAATTCAGTCTTGCCGCGTGCTTTTTTATCATCTGTTTAACTTGTTCATTTGCCTCGTCCTCAAAAAGATTGTGAGAATACGATCCAAACGGATTTAAGATCCTAAATTACCTAACGGTTAAGTAGGTCATTACTTGACTTAAGTAACAATATTACACCAATTTACCTAATGATAAAATAACGATATATCAACATAGCATATTTTTTTATATTATTTTCACGCTATTTTATTTTATTTAGTTATAATATGATAGAAAGTATTATTTCGTATATATATATGTATTTTTACTCAAGATCCTCCCGAATTCCTCGTTATTATAAATAATAGCAAAAAGATATATTTATTTGTTCTAAATCAAAATTCAGTTGATTTAAACAGTATTTAAATATGAAATTCTTGTTATTTGAATTACAAAAAATAAAAATAAATCAAAACTTTGATTTAATAATTGATAAAATTGTTCCTATGAAAGAAAAGAAGATAAAACTTGTTTAGTAAGTTTCAATTTATATTATAAACAATAAAATCTAAACAAATACAAATATGCCGAAATTTATTGTTAGTTTTTTATTAAAAAGAAGAATGTAAAAAGAGAAAAGGATGCAAAAAATATAAGAATATAAAAAAAAAACGAAATTACAGCAACTTGAAATTTTAATTTTAAAAATTACGCAGTTCTACTGCATCTAAAATGAAAATAGTATACAGTAGTATGAAAAAAATAAAAATAAAAATAGAAATAAAATCGCAGAAAACGCAAAAAGAAATCTCAACAACTTGATTTAACTAAAACATCATTTATATATTTATTTTATTATTTTATTTAACATGGATTTATATTTTATACAGTAGCCGTTTATACAAAAAAGGAGAAAAAAAATTAACTTGAATAGAAAAAAAAAAGTTCTAAAAAAAGGTAAAGATTTATTCAGAAGTTTATTATTACAATATGTAAATTATAACAATGCACAATGCATCACCTTGTTAATAATATACTGTAATTATGTTCGGAACTCGAAACTCGGAAGGATAATGTCTAACCGTCCGTTCATATGATTGTTGCGTCATAGACTTATTTTTAAAAGATAAGAAAAGACGCGGATTAAAGTTAGGATAAGAATTAGCTTAGAAATAAGTTAAAAAAAAATCTCTTTCTTTGCAAATATTAATATCCTTGATAAAGTAATTTAGCAAGAAGGGTTTTGAATTACGTATTTGTTAAGCATTTTGCCGATCACTAATAATAAAAAAGCATTATAATATGTTAATTTTTAAACAATTTATTTTTATAAAGTTTTATAAAGAATATTTAAAATTTTACCCTTATTATTATTTTTAAAATTTTTTTGACTATTGTTTACTAGAATACGATTTATAAGTTACACAGTAAGTATTACTATAAGTATACTAATAAGTAAGAATTACACTTGTGTTACCACAAATTATATTTAAATTTGATTATTTTAGCTTTACTTCCCTAAAAAATGAATTTGTTGGGGATAAATTTATTCTACTCTATCCTTTTATTCATAAGTCCGTTGACTGTTTATTCTTATAATGTGATACCATATAATGAAACTGAACCTGGACTTGAAGTCTATAAAGTATTTTCTTATAGAGATGAAACAGCGGTTATCCTTTTAATTAAACCAATAAATGAATCTTGTGTTGAACCACGAATTGATCTTCGCATTTTACATCCAAATGGTACTATTGATAGTGCTAAAGTTGATTATCCGATCCCAGAATATAATTTTTGTCTTGGACCCAATGGATTTTATTGGTTTGATATTACCCGTTCCCTTCCAAAATTTCTACTTGTGCTTTATGCAGATATCGTTTCAGCAAGTTATTATGTATTAGTTATTACTCGGACAGGATATGTTATTAGGTTTGTTACGCTATGATGTTTTATACTGCATATGAATTTTAACTTATCAAAATTTTTTATATTGGCAAGCAATACACCCGTGGCACCTATCTCTATAATAAATGGAAGTATATATGCCGATGGCTATCTCATGTCGCATACAAGCGAAGAATATGGTTTTATTTTTGCAAATTATGAAACTGAAACTGCTGTAATGTGGAAGTACTACAATAAACCGTATGTACCATCATTATTATTGTTTATTTCAATAATATTAAAGTAAATATGAAAATTAATTCATTCTTTTTGGTTTATTAGGGACGATAAAGGAAATATTAGTCTAATAAATGAAGGAAAACATTATCTGCAAAATCCATTTAATTATTATTTCATATTTCCCGCACTTGATGGAAATTTTGGTATTATAATTGCAAATTCAACAGATATTAATATAAAACCAGAACCTAATAAATTCATCAATCCATCTAAATTTACGTCTAAGGTTTATGTGTCTTTTATTAAACCTGTTATGAATAGTGTAGATGGCCCTTACTTAATTTACCAATCAACAATACCTCATTTTGAAGTGGATTTCTTTTGTGATACGGCTTTTACAGGGATTGGTAATATGTGTATTTTGACATTCAACAGAGCAGAAGATAAAAATACGACCGAATATATGACTGTGTTATTTCAAACTTCGGGGTTCGTTATATGTTTATAATATTTCTTAAAACCTTAATTATATGTCTAATGATTGTTTTTTTTTATTCTTAGTTCTGTATTTGATATGAGAAAGCTTTTTGTTGATAAAGAAATAATAGGTGTTAATAGTTTATTTCAAGGAGGATATTTAATAACTACACATGATGATCAAAATAAAACTATTGAAGGAATAATACTTGATGATAATGGAAAATATAATGGCACTTGGAGTTATCCACCAGATTTAAATGTATCTAATTCTTTTGGAACGGCAGCCTTTCGAAACGGGACACTGTTCTTAGTTACTTTCGAAAATGAAATGACTTGGAAAGTTATATCTACACCTTTACCTAAATTCTTCTCGGATGGTAAGCATAAATAAGTTGTTATATATTAATTATTTTTAGTCAAATTAATCTTACTTTATTTCTTTAGATTATGGATACGAAAATCCGAATATTAAATCGACTTATCCATTAATTAGCTCAAGTATACCCTTATCAATCACAAACATAAATATTACGTATCATTTGTCTGTAACGATATCAACCAACAACGTTTCAATTTATCAATATAATAATAATGACGATCTTCCTATACTGCGTCAATCTGTTTCAGGAGATTCACTATATTTCTCGTATAGTAGTTCTGATAAAAAGACAATAAACATAAAAGTTTTGCAAAGTACATTTAATCAACCAAACTCAAATTATTATATTGTTGTTAATGATAACGTGGTCAGGGATTGGACGTCAAATAATCCACTAATAGGTGTTGAAAGAAATCGTTGGAAATTTAATACAAGTAAGTAAGCATATTTTAATATCCGGATAAATTATACTAGTTCTTTATTAATATCAATTACAATTCCTTTTATTTAGTAAATATCCAAGATAATTTTGCAGGTAAAAAAATGTTTTTTTATAAAAAATATTATAATTAATTAAATTGATTTTATTCAATTTTAATAATTTTAATGTTTCATCATATTTAGAGGAATCAATTGGAAGATTTTCTTTAACGGATGAAGGAACAAAATCTTTTGAGAAACTTTCATTGGATAGTCAGAGAGGATTTTTATCACAATTAAGAATTGATTTAGCAAAATCAATACCTGTCGACATTAATAGATTAGATTATATAAAATGTTGTGAATATGATAATAGCAAACAACCTCCAAGAATTCTTTTATCATTACCTATTAAATCGACGACAAATCCATATGAAAGAAATGTTGATCATATTATAAAAGATTTAGATATTTTGATTAAAAACAAAGAAGTAACTCCAATTTCATGGTTTGGTACAACAAATCATTTAGAAGCTAGCTTTGGATTTCAGAGATATAGTAATTATAATTATTATTATAAAGAATTTTCATTATTTGAATTTTAATTCTTTTTTTATTATTTAGAAAATTTATTGGATGATTTTAAGTTCCATTTAATTGGTATTGTTATTGGAATAGTAATTTTAGGATTCCTTTATATTTACGCCAAGAAGAAATATCCCATGGTAAAGTACTTTATATATCTTTTTTTATTATTATTATCCGTAACTAATAATATATTACTTATTTATAGGGTAAAAATATCGTAATATTTAAATTTCCCTTAATTATTTTGAATTTTATCATGGGTATTATGTTTATTTTGAATAATGGAAAAAATGTTCCACAATTATTTATTCCAAGGTATGATCCATCTTCATTTTCAAAATTTTTTTTTATGCCAATTAAATTTTTAATTTTTTGTAAAAAATTTTAATTATAGCGTAATTTTCTGCGTGATACCAATAATAATTAATTTTATTATGGGTGCAATTATAATGCTTCAAGAAATTAAAAAAAACAGAGATTTCTATGGATGGTTTAAAAACAATGTTGATATGGCATCATTATTTACCATATTATCTGGTACTAATATTGAAATGTTAAATATACTTTCTTCTCAAGTTGCTGGTATAATTTTATTCAATGCTCCTATATCAGAAGAAACTCAATTTGATATTTTTTGGGGAAGTTTTATCGGATTATTTATTGGTGATATCCCTCGATTTATTATTCAGGTTTGTAAAAATTTTAACATTATTATATTAAAACCATTATTAAATTAAAACTAAAATCCCATTGAATTTTAGGTTTTCTACATAAAGTTAGTTGTTAATTATGATATAATTCCTTTTCTTACTCTATCAACAAGTTCGATTATTTTAGCGAATAATATAATTACAAAAATATATCATGCAATAGTACATTTATATTCAAAAAAAAGGAAATTTGTTATGATATTACAAACTGAAAAGATATTATGTAATTCAGCAAATGAAAATTCCAGTATTACAGTTCCACAAAAGATAAGAAAAACTGTTAGGCATTCAATGTAAATAATATTTCAATAAAATAAAATAATCATTATAATAAATAATATAAAAACATATAATTTAAATAAATTTTCAAAAATTAAATTTTTTTTTTTTTTTTATTTATAATGAGTTATCTTCATTAAAAATTTTTTAACAAATTTTTTATTATAAAGTTACATTATATTTACATTCCAAGTTTTAAGCTTTATTTTTTAATGGTGTATAGAAAAAAAAAAAGAAAAAAAGAAATCTTAGATTGACAATTTCATGTTTTAAAAAAAAAAAAGATTTCTTAAAATTTTGAATTTGTTTTTCAATTATTATTAACTTTGTTAAAATTTTATTAAAGATTAAATTTCAAGTTCAAAACCAACTAAAGTGTCAAATTACACTATAAAATTTCAGTTATTATATTGAAAAAAGTTTTGTAATGAATCATATTGTAATGAATCAATTTATATATAAAAGAATAATTACAAATTTGCTATTTTATTTTTTTTTTTGAATTATATCAAAATTTTTTTTTTCTTTATAATTTTACTTTATTTATGAAAACAATTTATAAATAAAAAAAAAAAAATTTTTAAATTTTTATTTTTTGTAATTTAAATAACAAGAATTTCATATTTAAATACTGTTTAAATGTTTAAATCAACTGAATTTTGATTTAGAACAAATAAATATATCATTTTGCTATTATTTATAACAACGAGGAATTCAGGAGGATCTTGAGTAAAAATACTAAATAATACTTTCTATCATATATAACTAAATAAAATAAAATAGCGTAAAAATAATATAAAAAAATATGCTATGTTGATATATCGTTATTTTATTATTAGGTAAATTGGTGTAATATTGTTACTTAAGTCAAGTAATGACCTACTTAACCATTAGGTAATTTAGGATCTTAATTAATTTTACATTTTTGTCTAACATTTATGATTATATTTGCCATCCAAATAAATGAAATGGAAGTTCTCGCTTATTTATAATAAAGGTTATTATAGAAAATTGGCCTTTTACTAATAATTTTTACTATCTTACTTTTTTTTTAAATTCTATTGGTTAATTAGTTTAAAAAAAAATTATAACAATATTTCCTTTTATAATAAGATCTGCAAAGAATTTTATATATGATTTTTACCTTAAACCTAGGGTGACCTATCTTATAAGTAAATGAAGTTCTGATAGAACCCTAAATATAACTAAAATAACTGAGATTCTGTATAACAAAAATTTTAAAATACTATATCTCAATCAATATTATACCTAAAATCATGAGTTATATATCAAATATTGTCTCATTAAAATAAATCTAACAAGCTTAAAGATCATTAAAATCCAATCACTGGATCCTAAGCAAAATTTGAAGCTAAAATCTACATATAATTTTTATATACATTTAAAATAGAAATTAATTATAAGGTTTATACAAATTCAGATTTGGGTTTTTTAATAATGTTCAGGTTCTATTCTGACCTATTTTAGGACTCTGCTTACTTCTAATAGAGGTCACCGTAAAATTTTTAAGATTCCTTCAATTAAGTAATTTTACAACCTTTTCAGTTACATTTTTAAATCATATATATTTTTACCTTATAATAAGTTTAGTAATATTTATAATTATAGATTATATAAAATATAATTTATTTTAGAAATAATTTATTTATCGCACGTGCGATGCAAATTTTTATGTTTATCATTGCCATTTTAAGGGGTGGCGATGTATAAGCAGGTTGATCAACATAAATAATTTACAAAAAAGGAAAGTGGCAATGCATCGCACGTGCGATGAATAAATTTACTCTTTATTTTATACATTTAGTACTTTTTATTTCTTTTAAAATTGGCCTAATTTTTAAATATAATTATTTTAAAAAAAAGTAAAAAAGTTCCTATTTAAAATAAGTTCAAAATTAATCAATAGTTACAAATAAATATACAGTCAACCCTTGTTATAACGAACCCTAGGGTCCAGACCTCAACTGTGCTATAAAACTATAGTAAAGATTTTAAGAGATTTGATTGGTTAATTCGTTATAGCAAGGGAAATTTATTATAATTGTCTGAAAAATCCACTATATCAAGGGTTTGCTATATCAAGGTTTGACTGTATATATTATTTTTGACAAAAAAAAAAAAATAACATTTTTGTAGAATAGTTTTGGAATCATTAGATGAGAATACTGAAGGAATATGTTTGATCATCAGCAAAACAAATTTGATGAATGGGAATAATGGTTCTTATACTGGTGTCACCTCAATAGTATTAATAAAGGTCGCTGTGATAATTTTAATACTAATAACACTTTAATTAATTTTGTAAAAATGTCAAACAATTTATTACCTACAGTTGATAATCTCAGGAAGCGCAATAATATATACAAGTATAAGTTATTTTAAAAATGTCTAGGGCTGATATTACTACCATTGCATTCTTTTCATTGAGATGAATCCAATGATATAAATTTTATCAAAATTTAATACAGTAGATTCTTAAAATTAGGAGTATATAGGATAGGAAATTTAAACCCCTGTAATACTAGAGCTGTAACTCTGGCCGGAATTATATGATCGGCGTAAAAATTAAATCTCCCATTTCTGTGAAAAGAAAAAATTACTTTTTTTTATGGGATATGGGATATGGGATTGGAATGGGATTATGGGATTATGGGATGGGATAAATGGGATATGGGATAAATGGGGATATGGGTGGGATGGGATATGGGATTCTCCCAATCCCATTTATATGGCGGCAGGTATATTACTATATTTGTGATAATACACAAAAAAAAAAAAAAAAAAAAAAAAACTTTTCCCACTTTAAAATAATGGATAAAAACGCGAGAAAATCCTTCTCCAAACAGTTAATTTGGCTCCTAGAACTTCAAGCATTAGTAATTTTCCATAGGGGAACTGGATTTACGTAAACATTTTGTGAACCGTTCGATTGTTAAAACTTTGAAATGGTCGAATGTAATATTTCTTTTAATTACCTTAATGAGTATAACCTTTGTGAAGAATTCTTTTCTCTATTATATCAACAACATACTGGAGTCTCTCTTGATATTTTGAAAGGTATTTTTTATTCAAGGAAGAAATGGATCTATAAGCCTTTAACATATTTACTTTCAGAATTGCGGCCATGGCAGTTGAGTTGAAAAACTCATTTATTTGTTTTTTTTGAAAAAGAGATGATTTTAATGAGTAATATTGAAATTGAAAACATGGACCTTTCAAATAACGACATTCCTATTACTTTCGATAAACGTTGATGATATTTGATATTGGAGAATTCAAAATATAAATGGATAATAAACCTAAATATCTACCATATTATTGTGGTATGGTGCGTAAAGTTGTTGTAACTCCTACTACAAGTTATATTTTAACTCCAACCATGGAAACTTAATAGGGTGATCCGTTATTTTCGTCATAAGAAAGATCATTTTTTACGTGTCCAATTTGTAGATGAGGCTTTGAGTAAAGTTGGTTCATCTAATGATGATACTTCTAACCATGCTTTATGACAGAGTTTATTGTACTTTACGTGATGGTATCATTATTGGTGATAAGCACTACGAATTCTTGGCTTTCTCTGCTAGTCAATTAAGAGATCATAGTTGTTGGTTTTTTCACCAACTGGCGATTTAACTGCCGATAAGGTTAGAGATTGGATGGGAAATTTTTTAACAAATAAAAGTGTAGCAAAATGTGCTGCCCGAATGGATCAGTGTTTTTCAAGTACTCGTCAAAAGCTACCTGTTGATGACATTAAAGAAATGCCCGATATAGTTAGAAATGGTTTCACTTTTTCTGATGGGGTAGGGAATATCTCTTTTTCATTAGCAAAGAAGATTGCTTATTAATTGGATTAAGGGTGTTTTATGTCAGCCAGCTTGTGTTGGAAGTTATCAGAGGTTCTACATTCATCTCAGCATATCTCAATCGTCAGGCGATTATATTATTGTCCGCATTAGGAACTCCTGATGAAGTATTTATTGAATTAAAAGATTTACGAGTTAGGGAATTGGATAAAATGCTTGAAAGTGAACATACGGCATTGGATTTTCTACAAAGGTATGTTGATGAATATGGAATTTCAATCTCACTTGCTGATCTTGTTAAAGCAGGATTTTTAAGAAATAATCATCGTTATTTGATTTATTTGATGAATTTTATTTCATTATTTGATGTTAGGAGACATTAAGAAAAGGCAAAAATTCGCGTTGATAAAGTACGCGTCTTGGATGTTACCGAAATTTTACAGGAGAATCAAATTTATTGTTATTTAGATGATGATTTCACGAATGTATCTTTATTTATATTGTTAAAACTTTTTAAAAAGTTTTAAGTTGTTTAAGTTATTGACAATTTTTAATTTAGTGTACTATGAATTATGAGGCTCAAAAATCAAGAATGGTTGAAAATGTAACGATGAAAGATATCAAAACATTTTTCGTAAATTATATCTTTTCCGACAACTTTGGTATGATCGAGAACGCTCATTAGCAAAAGCAGATTTTTTCAAAGTTGGTGCATTACATAGGCAATGTAAACGTCTTGTACAATTACATTCTGACGCCATAGATTTCCTAAAACGGGAACACCATCAGAATTTCCACCTGTATTTCGTGCTAGTAAATTCACAGATTTTATGGAAAAATTGATAAACAATCTTATGAATCTCAAAAAAGTTCTTGGCATTTTATAGAGTATACCCGCAAATTATTTTAAATATAGAAACTTTTGATCAAAGAATATATGTTGATGGGATGATGCACGAAAGTTAAGACGAGAGTACAATGCAAACATAAGAGGATTAATGAAATTGAAGTAACTAATGGATACATTATGAATACTATTGTTACAAAAGTTGATAAAGAAACCTCGCAATGTAACAAAATCTGTGATGGAAGATGGAATCTTTAATTCCAATTAATGACATTATAGAAAATCATTTGAACAAGAATTTAAGGTACTCGAAGGGTTTCCACGCCACCAAAGTTTACTTTTTTACATAAATAAGTTTTAAAATTAAAAAGATGGCACAACCAGAAAGATTAAAGAAAGATACCTATTGGAAAGTAAAAAAAGAGAAATTGATCAGTCGAAAGGAAATTAAAGAAATAAATGAAATCACGGCTGAAACTATTAGAACTCATCAAGGAATATTACGTAAAAAAAGAACAGGAATTACTGGATGTAATCGAACAAATCGTTTAATTTTAATCGTTCACAAAACATGTTAGCCGGTTTATTGTCGAAGGACTATATATACTGTATTTATGCTGATTGGTCCGCACAGAATGCGCGGCCTCCGCGTGAGCTTTACTAGCGAAGATGTGCTTTGCCTGCGCTTTGTTAGCAAACCGTTAAAAAAGAAAGTAAGGTTACAAGGGGATATTAAACCCCTAAAGTCAATTCTAAAGTCGTCCAGTAAGTACAACCAGGAAAGTTACGTACGATTTATTTTTTTAAAAAAATCTGTTCCCAATAATTTGTGACCATTTATGGGGAAAATTGGGATTTTCGATAACACAAAAGAAAATGTAAGCAAAAGAAATGTTTGGCAAGAATATAAAATTCAAATAGGGAATTTAAAAATTATAAGAAGGGGAAATTTCTTCAGAGATAATGTATATGAATTCAAACGAAATTTTATTCGTTAGAATTATATAAAGATGGACCAATTTTGATCTTAAGCGTAATTCCCCTTGAATTGTAATCCGTTTATTCTTTTTTCTTGTTGATTTTTCTTAATGTATATGATACAATTATTATGATATGGAATACTAGGATAATAGGATATGTAATTATGTTTATTATACGGTATCTTTTATCTTGTTAATAAAATTTTAATTGCCAATGCCTATGCTTTGCGCTACGATAAACTAATTCGCAATTTCTTTATTCCTAATTGATAAACAATATTTGATGTGCTAAAAAAAATGACTTTTCTCTACTAGATGAATCGGTCACTATGATTGAAAAAAATTGCCAATATTAAAAAGAATACGCATCTTTCCTTATTGCAAGAGCATGAGAACTAATTTTATATATTCTGGTCCCCATCCTATAGATTGATATTTCCCCTCCTACATAAAATGAACGCATTTTGGTAGACAACCTAAGTCCTTATCAATTTTAGTAGGATGCAAAACTTTTGACGAATTCTCAATTTTTCCAGTACTTTCGCCATTCGGATTTTTTCACGCTAATTGTTCCATCTAACTTACAGTAACAGTAAAGAAGAGTTGATGATTTCGACGGAGAATACTCTCACGATTATCCTTAAATTAGCCTCAGCACTTTCTTTTTTTTTCAGTATCGAGTTCTTTTGGGCCAATTTGTCTTTATTTCTTTGCTGATTTTATTGAGAAATTTGGCAAGCTCCGTTTTTAATAAATTCGTGAATCTAAAGATTAAGTTTTAAAATTAATGTATGTACTATTAAAGCATTTATTTAAGTTAAAGAAAAATTTAAACACCTACTTTGTTAGAGATACATCTAAATTTTTATTGAAATTCATTATTGTTATCAAATTTGTTTGGCTTTGAAATTATCCGGTTCGATCCAACCAGGTTAAAACACACCACAGATAATAATTCCATTACTTTGTGACTAAACAGAAGACTTCTAAGTGGACACGTAGTTATAAAGAAGTCCTCTCGCTTCAAGGTCATAAATGCACACTCAGGGAACAGATTAAGTAATTCTTCTTTTTACTATTATGTACAGGGTTACAGCAGGGTTGTAATGAATAATTCGATAAATTCATTTTTTCTTTTTCTCATCACGACTAAAGATGGAAAGATTTGAAGTTAATATTGATTTTTTTTAAATTATCTAAACTTTATATTCAATAAACTTACTTTTTAAGAACTCTGTGAAATGATCGAAATAGTTTAATAGTTTGTCAATATACTGTATCATCATTAGATAATCAATTCAGACAACTATAGTTATAATACACTACCCTTCAACTCATATACCTTATTTCCCTCGCCTACAAAGAAAATAAAATACATCAAATAATAATCCTTTCAACTGAAAAAATCGAAAATTTTTATATAAATATTGATTGTTATCCTTTTTTTTCATATTATTTAATGTTCATATCATTTATCGTTTTAAATATACATCAATAACTCCTTTTATATCATCTTGTTGATTTTTTGCCGAATTACAAAATGATCCTGTTTTCTTATATCATGTATTTTAGTGACGTCGAATATAAGGATCACGTGAAAAACTAACCTAACCATTCGTACTATGAGGTGCATTATTGCGTCGCCAAAAATGCGTTTTTTTAACGGGTTTTTTTTAAAAAACAGATATATTTACATTTCATAAGATAAATAATTAAAAAAATATAATTAACTAGTATTTAGAATAAAAGAACTACATGTTGATCTAGCAATTTGCACCTTGCTTCTAATATTGTCTATTATCTTGGGCCAACCAATATATTAATTGAAAATACTTATACCCTATAAAAAAAATTCTGGAAAAACTCTGATAAGTGATCATTTTTCTGAAAAATTTTTTATAGGGATAAAGATTTATGGGTTCTCAAATTACCTGTGTTCTGAAATTATTAGGCATATTTTTAATGATTATTACTTTGGTCGGAAAGAATTAATTGAAAAAAGTGATAATATTTATGTAAACATATTTATTGAATGTATTATTTGTAAAAGTTATTTTAATTTTACATCAGTTTGATCGATGGCAAATCACATGATGATCAATGTTTAGAAAATTTTCTGAAGGAGGCAATTTTGCGTACTAAACTTAGTATAGAAACCCCATGCAATCATGCATACAGCTATTAATAAAAATTTGAAAGTCACTTTACTTCTTTATATATTTCGAGGTTCTCGTATGCTGCATCCCATATTATCGATTAATGATCAATTGTGCTTAAGACGAATCCGTTTATTCAGTCCGATAAATATTTTAGTGGAGGTAAAATTGAACAGTGTACAGTAAGTCCATGATGATTTACATTCCTATCGCTCATAATAGCGCAGAGAATTTCTCCATAAAATTGAAATCGTATGCTCATTAGAGATGAGAAGAGGGTAGTTTTTCAAGTATCGATATTCATAATGTTAGGAAAATAAAATCAAAATAAAGAACCAAGTATTTTTTTTTTACAGTAATTGAATGTTTTTGACAAAGCATTCGGATCTTTTACTTTTTTAAAATTTTCTTTTGTAAAAAAAGAATGCAAATTGTGGGACGTTAAATCAGCGAGTAGCATTTATGGAGAAAGTATTTATTGATTAAAGAATTTAACCAAAGTGTGTATATATAGATATACTGTTTAATCAAAAAAAATTACGTTTCATCATAAAATATAAAGAAATAATTTTTTCGCGTTCGTTATAGCGCCAAATCCTGCCAAAAAAATAATGATTAAAAAATATTTATGTTTTTAATTAGATTTGAAATTTGCTATTTTATTTATTTTTATTTTTTTTTTTTAAAAAAAAAACGGATTAATAATATTCTGAATAGACTGACAAATCATTTCGCGCAAAAATTTGCTCTCAAAAATGTACAGTTGGATCAGATATGAGACTTATCAGCGCAATTAATGCCAAAAATTGTAAGATTCATATTGAATTTCAAGATTATTAAAAAGAAAAAGAAAGAAATCTATAAAATATCAAAATCAAACAAATTTATTAAAAAAAAAGAAAGAAAGAAATCTATAAAATATCAAAAACAAATCTATTAAAAAAAAAAGAAAGAAAATCTATAAATAAACACAAAAAATGAGGAAAAAAGAAAAAAGAAAATAAAGCTTGAAGTCTTGATCCACCAGATGAGTAGTTTCGACTCAGGATCTTCTCTGGTATGATCTATAGACGTAAAAACCGGAAGAGCAACTCTTGTTTCCGATTCTTTATAGTTGTGGCCTCCTTAATAGGAAAAAAATAAGTTTTAGATTTTTGCTTGAAAAATATTTAGAACGGTCGAACAATATCACATTATAAGACACATACCTCCCCCCATCCCATCAGATTCATTTATCTGACATTTTAAAATAAATTTTTAAATAAATTTTAATTAAAATATTGAAATTCAAAGAATTTTTTAACGTCTTTTCTTCAAAAGAATTTTTGGGGGACGCGTAACTTATATTTATAATTGCTGCTTCAACGCTCATGGAAGAATAGAACATATGTTTGATTGGTACTTCAGTCCATGAAAATAAATGATTACCCTAATGGTCAGTCATGCAAAAGAGATACCAATTTTGTTAAATATTGATCATACGACATTTCACGTTATACATGATTAACGATTGCAGCCTTGCAGGTAATCTTCTTAAACCAAAACAATACAACCATAAACTAAAAAGATCGAATACATCCTATGATGTGAGACAAAAATATAACCGTTTAGTGTTTGATTCTTCCGCGCTATTGCATCGGCAATATCTTCTTGAGTTATTGAGGTTGGAATTTTTTTTTCTTTTTTTTTTGCGAAGAACTTTATTAAAAGCATCACAATCAATTTTTCTAATAAAAGAAATTTATTCGGAATGCCATGTGTTTTTAGCTGTACTGTGTTTTTAGTTGTACTCAAATGTAAGTAATTTTGATTACGATTAACAAACTAAAATTATGATAAACATGGCTTGTACCATTCCCGATGTATTCGACATCATGCATTTCTTTGTTACTTTGATAACGAGTCAATCGAGTCATTATTTCTAATCATATATCTTTATCAATCAGTTCTTCTGATCAGATTAAATCATTAAGTTGAAAAGAAGTTAACATATTGCGGACAACCTTTTTTTATACGAAATTAATTGAGTAATAATTTTACATTATGATTTTGACATTCATGATTATTTATTCCAATTGTGTCAATTTAACTTATTTTAATACTCCATTCATTAATAATGAACTTTGAATTTTTCTTACAGCAAAAAAATTCTTAAAAAATGTAAAGAAAAAGAATTAGCATGTCTAATACTAAGGTCAACTTGCATTAAAACATGACGAACTCAAAGATGAACAACTTTCAAATAAAGCAGCTGTTCAAGAATTTTTTTTCTGATATGAAATTCAACCTGGACTTTCATTATACAAAAAACATACAAAGCCTATTTCTAAAAGTAAAAAGAGCTTGCAATGAGGACTATAATTGGTTTACAGGAGATCAAAAAAGTCGTCTCTTGAAACTTATACCGGATTGTGACTTGTTGGATGATATTGTTGACACTCCAAGAATTGAACGAGAATATATGGCCGTGAGAATATAATACTGGATACACAATGGAATAATCTTGAAAAAATTTAAGGCCGAGTTTCTCAAGTGTTGAAAGGTGATTATTTATATTACGTACTTAATTTTTATTTTTTATATATTAATTTTAATATTATTATGATATCATTAAATAGAGCGATAACTATGAACAATAGTAGGACTCTGAGAAAATTAGGAAAGAAATAAATTGCAGGGTAAATATTATATAATGTAAGTGTATAAATGCTTGCTTTATAATATATTATTATCTGATGGAAAAAGAGTGAATAACATTATTTTTACTTATGGAAGGTAAATGATTGGCTGAAAATAAGCCACGAAGTGGCTTATTCAGCCAATCATTTTCCTGTAATAAGTAAAAATAATGTAATCATTTTCTATCGGATAAATTTTATATCCGAGAGGCCTCAATGATCATGTATAAATAGTTTATTAATAGTCTAGCAAAGTATAATCTTATCACCTGTTTTCTTTCTTTCATTAATTATTAGCTTATAGAATTGATAATGTATATAAATATAATTTTATTGCGTGTATAAATAATAATGAAATAAATTTCATATTTGATATTGCATATAAAATACTATCGGATAACTATAAAATTTTGCTTTACATGATCCTATGGAATATCGGATATTGATTAAATTTGATGATTTTAGTGATCCCGTCATATTCCCGAAATGACCAATGCACATAGATGATGCATTCATTAAACATAAACGATAATTTAAAAACGTTAGGATAACAGTTTAACGAAATTGAAGTAATCACATAATTTAGTAATTTTTATTCAGTGTTTCGAGTTATTTGGTGAACAAAGCAAAATCAAAGATGACATACATAATCCAACTCGTCTGGAAATGACGTTTTAGATTTGACGGACGTGTTGCAAAAGGTTCTCGCCCTAATAGTAATGCCTCTAAAACTTTAGCACTGTAAGGTCAGAAGATTATTCCCTGAGGCGAGAGAAGAATATTGGTCGAAAAAAGTCAATAATTTTTTGTTTTTTCCTTTTTTTCGTAATATTATATACACTTCATTTTATCGATTAATGTAAAATATAATTTATAAACGATATTCTGACTTTAAATATGATGTACTTTAAATATGAGATGTTGATATAATAAAGAATAATATGTTCATTAATTGACAATACAGTTAAGATTGGTACTACCGTAATATCATCTGGCTTTAAAATAAATTTCCAATGATTTTTCTCATAATTTTGAGTCCTTAGGCAGGCATTTAACAATAGTTTAAAGAATGGGTTCGATTATGTAATTTTAGGCAATCTTTTATCTTGTAAACACGGATATTAAGATTTGCGAAAATATTTTTTTCGTGATATGGATGATAGTATACAGTATCACATGACCGAACCCGACATAAATTTTGGTAAATTATCAGTACATGAAATTAATATTTAATTCAGTAGCAAAACATGAGAGTAGTATAACAGGATGAGTGTTATCATAACAAAATAAAAAGTTTATTCATATAATTATAAAGAAAAATATCATATGCTTAGATGTAAAGATGTGGGAGGGGGAAAGAAAATATCATATGCTTAGATGTGGAGATGTGGGAGGGGGAAAGAAAAATATCATATCTGATATGCTTAGATGTGGGAGGGGGAAAGAAAAATATATATTTACGAATCGATTTTTAACGAAGAAATACGAATATATATATAACGATACGAATCGATTTTGCCACTCTTAATTACGAAACGAAAAAAATTAATTAAAATTATAAATAATCGATGAACGAGGAGTTACTAATTCGTAAAAATTAAATGTACAAGATTATATATTGTAAATCTTTTAATAAATGCGAAAAAATATCAATATTCAGATTTGCTTTTACCTCGAAAAAAAAAACCGATTGGCCCGGTTTTTGGCCATCGGTATTTCTTCCATAAGAGCATTTATACTGCTCTTGCTCCTCTTCCGATAATAGCCGCCAAATTCTTGAGGCGGCCTTTGCGTTTATATGAAAATGTTCCGCCAGATCACGACGGAACAGTATGAAGCAATTAGGTTGCTTCCTATGTTTATATGGATCAAACTTTACAATTTTGATCCTTTTTTTTTTCATTTTTAAATTGAAGAAACCCACTCACAACCCACTCATATTTATATATATTTTCATCTATACAATAGTCAACCTTTTAAATACATATTTGTAGTAATATTTGAGACACGAAATTTATTGATTATATAAAGTTTATAGTAATAATAATATAAAGTTAAATTTAAATTTAATAAAAGTCATTGATAAAGGAGTGTTGTATAATTTTGGTAATATATATTTGAGTATATAAGAACAATATACCTTTCTTAATAAACTCGAATGTAAACAAATATGGATCTATATCAGTCAATTAATAAATTACCATATATAATATAAGATTTATATTATTATAAATACAGTAATTGTTTTCGTTTAAGTATTAAAATTGAATGGTACATGTAAAATATATTAAATATTTGAAAGTTTGTTGTAAAATATGTGCTTGGAATTACAAAATCTTAATAAAAACCTATATAAGAAATTCTATTAGAATTTTGTATATAATTCTATACTAGGAAAATTGAAACAATTTTTGGTATTACAAAATTTTGAATGACGTGATACTAATACAAATGCGGTGAGATATTGCGCTTTGAAGCGTCTTTGATTAGATGATAAAAATAACTTTCCCGGCTTATCCAAAAGATTCTTGAAAACATTTTATTTTTTATCGATAAAATAAATACACGATATTATAAACGTAGTCTTTATCATAAAAACATTACGATGATGAAAACCATCTGTGAAGATCATCACGATCACGGATCACCCAATGAAGTTTTGTAATACTCATCAATAACGATTATAAGTATATATTCAGTTTAATGAAAAGATCTGCATATACATTTTTGGGATTAAATTTTCTTTAACCGCAACTTCTTTTATTAAGCCTGTCTGCTATGAATGTAAATAATATACTCCGATATTTATTTTATGTACCACGCGAGTGTTTCAAAAAAATTTAAATATATTTTTATTATTCCTACTAAAAAAGTTATCGTATGAAAGTTCAAACCCGAGAATGTTTGGATTTTTATTCACATTCCTAATCTCGCTTATAATTATCATTAGTTGTTATTGTTCTGACCTTTGTCTTTTTGTTAAATAAAAGTAATTCTAAAATTATTATTATATCACGTATTAAAAAAATCGAAAAGAGTTAAATCATGTCTCCCTATTACACTTTTTTAATACAAAAGCGGTGCATAATCTCCGAATAGAATTTAGTACAAGATATGGCATCCGAGTATTCAAATATTCAAATCGGAAAAGTCAGAAATTAATAAATGCCATAATTAGATAATAGATACACGTATCTTGATTAATTTATAGAAATTTATATTGGATTAGTATTATCCACATGGAATTTCTCTTTCCTTTTTTTATATTAATACTAATAATTACATAATCATAAAATTTATAAAAAAATTTCAATTATTATTATAAAAAATTCTAATATTAATCAAGCAGACAATTAATTTCTTTTTTAATTTTATCAGAATTTCATAAAAGGAAAAATCAATAAAATCAATTAATAATACTTTACCGAGCGAATATTTTAACAAATTTTGATAACGTGGCTCAATTTTGCCCCTTGATTTGTTTGACTCACATTTCTAAGGTAAGGTATAAAAGCGATTTATGTGCTTCTGTAATTTGAGTAGAGCTTGATTTACTAATATTTTTAAATCGATTACTGTATCATGATGATGTGAGATATTTTGACCTTATATTTTAATCGAAAAATAAACCCGCAGTCAACAATGTTTGTCACGTGAGCATGTATAATAATTTTAATACATAGTAACATAGATGACATGATAACAAATAATAATTTATTAATGGTACAAAAAATTCTTCATTGAATATGATTTGCATTCTAAAACTGGAAACAATGAAAAAACTATGAAATTGCTTATTTTGTCAGCTTAATACTTATTTTCCCCTTCAAACATACAATATCTGAATAAAATCTGGACCTTACATATTTTGAAGGGATTTCATTTCTTTAAATGGATTAAAGAAAATTTTTAATTATTAAATACACTATGTTTCAGTTTTGTTTATCAATTACTAACAAAATTGGTTTGTTTGAACTGACAGAAAAAGTAATTTATTAAAGAAAATAATTAATATCGTACATTCAATGTTTGGGTACATTCTGAAAGACTAGTTTTGGAGGTGCAACATCGTAATGTGTGTTAGTTGATAGTTTTAAAATTTAATATTTTAATTCCATGTATTTCTCGTCCAAATCCTAGCCGACTGTAGTGTTATATTTGTTGCTACAGGTGCAGTATCAATAAGTCCGCTAGTCCTCGTTGCGAAATTGTATTCTAAATTTCTTTAGATATTATGATAGAAATTAACCAAATATAACCTCCATCCGACCATCCGTACATATATATTTTGGCATATCTGCATAGATTAGTCGAATATTTGCGTTACGTTACGTACGTCGTGTCACTGCATAATTGACTGTGTTTCAGTTAAATTAATTCCGTCAAAAAATTTGCACTCCTTTTTAAATTTTTAAATAAGTTAATTGTTAGAAAAGTACGCCTTATCCCATATCGACATTTTCATGTACAATAATAAACCTGAGAATTTTCAGGTTTATTGCGCAAAAAAATTAATGTCGTACAACAAGGTCACGAATTTCTTGATCTACGAGTTGTAACTGTGGCTTTATTTCTTGTTAAATGTGGCGAAATTCCCGATATCGGAACGATTATAAAAAACAATTATCGCATCTTTTGTAGAGATTTCATAACATAAGAATTTATATTAAAATTATACGATAGATACATACAGTATGTTTGTACTTTTGAAATTGTCAAATATTTTGATACCCAAAAAAAAAGGGAAGAGTTACTTTTTATCCCTATCTTTATTTCTACTGTTTATCGGCCGGATGTTACGTTTTAATATGTACCCATGAGTAAAAGGGTCAGTATCCTGATTTGTTAATCTATTTGCCATAAATATAGAACAAGATGAGAAAATCTAACAAATTGCAAGAATATTTACATTATAACTTTCGATAAATAGTGTATATTGCTCCTTCAAATAATTTTTACAAACAATTTGAGCGTTTCTTTTCAATAATTAAAAAATATTTGAACGTGTACTTTCGTATTATAAATATAAACAATAACAAATTTTTTTTTAATTACCAAGTCATTACTGTAATACTTGGATCGGCTGTACAAACGAGTATTACACCAATTATTTCCCTTATCCGTGAAAAAGGCTTATTTGTGTGAAAAATTTCAATAAATGATTACTGATTAAGTTTTCATTGATGTAACAAATATTATGAAAGTATAATCTTAAACTGGAAGAAATATTCCAGACCATATATGTCAATCTATTATGACATATCGATAGACGATCACTTTTTTAAATAAGGAGCGTTCTTTATAATAAAATTTTCATTTGATTAAGGATAACCATCGAAAAAACCGACATTAGATCATCCTCAAACAGTAATATCTTGAAAATTTTCGATCATTTCGTGCGCTTCAAACATTGAACGTGTCCGTCCACATGGAAAAACATTTCCAAATTGAATATGCAAGCCGCCAAGCCGCCAAGCCCCATCAGCATCTTAACAGCCTTACCGTTGACTGATTTTTTACGTAAAGAAAACAATAAGCCGCCAAAGCCTCTAAAGTTATTGATTTGGCCACATATTATAAACTAGATCATATGCAAGTTGTTATAATCAGCCTTATCGTTAACTAAAAAAAAAAGATGACAAATTTTTTTATATAAATATGCTATCCGTTAAACGATTTTACACCTTTATTACTCTTTATTACACCTTTATTAACCTTTATTATTCTTTTCTTCTTTTTCCTACTTTGGTATTATAACGACTGAATTCATATACATTCCTTTATATACATTATCCTATCATTTTCTTCGAAAATAAATCAAATACCCTTTAAATACATACATACATATACTGTATATATATAATTATTATTCTAACTGAATTTTGTATAGTTATAACATCATTTTTCAATTCCTTTTGAAGAAAGAATATAATAATCTCACTCAGGGCATGGCTTAATCTCAAATAGGAATTGCTTAGGACTACGACGAACTGTGCTCTTGATTATTACAAATTTTACTTCCGTAAAATGTAAATAGTTGTAAGTATGTAATATATTATTTATTTTTATAAATTAATTTGAATAAATTAATATATTACAATAATGATATGTAGTATTTTTCGGCCCAATATTCCTATTTTTAGATTTATTGAAAGACTGGTTTTGATTAGAAAGAGGAGGATGCGCTTCTCCTGTTGCTATTTTGCACGGGACCCTTCTAATATCAACTGGTACTTTGATTGCTTTGCTCATCTTTCCATTAATTCGATGTCATTTATCTATCACGATCCATCCCCGACGCGATAATAATTAAACATTTTATATAATATAATAAATTATTTTAAAATTTCATTTTTAGAATTACAATCTAAAATTAATAGATTAATAGTACATTATTTTAGATGATTTAGACGTTATAATTTTTTATAGATATTTAGATTAAATAATTTAATTCAACTGATAGAATAAAGATAATTATTTTTACTGATTTTATATAATAAGGTTAATAAATTTGTTCGCGCCACATCATACCATTATTAAGCACGCCCATACAATAACATACAAATACAAATATTTTTATTCGTAAAGAAAGACCAATGTGAATACCAAATATTTATAATTAACCATTCGATCTGTCGTACAAATTAATGTACCCGCGCCACTATTTTTATTTTTTTGTCTTAACTATTACTGATTTACGTTTTATTTATTTTATTTCTGAAATTATATAAATATATATCATCGTAATCCCTATAAAAAATTTTTTATGAAAGTATTCCGAATTTTATCTGGTTTTTGCATTCCGAAAATGTCCCGAATTTTACTATTATGATTCCACTCCGAAAAGTGATCATTTTTCGGAATAATACTTTATGTTATTACCCGGAAACACTCAAATTATACTCAGTAAATTTTATGAATTTAAACGGAATATTATCAGATGATTTACACAGATATTATCCGAAAATATTCAGTAAATTTTATTGAATGCGATCAAGATACACTTCAATTATATTTGCAGGATATTATCTGAAAGCGTCTATGAATGTGAACTATGTAGTTTTCAATAATACGTTAAATAATTGATACATTAATAGGACCCTCTATATTAATAAGCTTCTCCGTCATTATTTCTAACTTTCTTACAAGTGTTATGTGTAACCTTTGTTGTTTTGGTTATTTTTTCTGAATTTGCACGTTATTCATTCTAGTTGACCTTCTTTTCCTTTCTTGCAAAGGCAATTGGGCATCATTGGCTTCTATTTAGTAAGAACGATGATTCAGAAATAGATTTAGATGAAATAGCAATATCAGTATGTGGAAATGATTCAGAAATTGATGTACCATATTATCATAAGAAATTGGAGTAGGTAGTGATACCACTTTCTCGAGTTTTTTATTAGGTGGTGTGATATTTTTGTATTTAAGAGGTGGGTTAATGCCTTGGATAAAAGCTTCTTAATTTTTTTTAAATAGTTTCAGCTTAGAAAACTTACTAGGTTTCGCTCATTGACATTCTTTTAAATTAGTTTTTGAAAGATTCCAAAAACTTACTATGATTCTAGCACTTTAAAATCAGAATTGGCTATCTATAAATAAGAAAAATGAACTTTCAGTAACAGTTCATTAAAAACCAACCAAATCCTGCGTCCAAAGAGCTGAAAAGTTGTCTAAAAGTTAAAAAACATGTTAGCAATCATTTCATTAATAGAATTAATTCAAAGGAAAAATATCTACTCACCGAATTTTCTACATGTCCAGATACTCCAAAGAATACAAAAGAAAAAAATGAAATGTTCATTAGTAGCCATTTTGTTAAAATACTTTACTAATGCCCAAACTCCAGAGACCCGAAAGAGCCACTAAAAAAAAGAAAAAGAAGTGAACCATTAACATAAATGAATTATAAAAAGAATGGAAAAATAGTTCACCAGATTCTTACGTGCCCAAAGACCCTTCATGCCATTTAAAAGATTAATGATTCCACGCCAAATTTCCATGTATTCAAGGCCAGCCCATTAAAAAAGAAAGAAAAGATGAAACATTAATAAAACATTTTGTTAAATGAATAATTAAAAAGAAAAAAGACAAACTGTTAGTAAAGTTTGTTGAAATAAAATAGAAAAAATTTTAAAAATTTTGAAAAACTTATCAAAGTTTCGCGTTCAAGGAGACCGAAAAAATGGCCTAAAAAGTTTTGTCTAGATTTTTTTCAACAGAAAGTGTGAGGTGGGAAAGGGAAAAGAAAGATGAAGAAAAGGGAATGGTAAGAAAAGGACAAAGGAAGGGGAAAGGACAAAAGGACAAAGGGAAGGGAAAGAAAAATGAAAGAGTTTAAAAAAGTTAAAAAAAAAATTGATTAAGGACTGAGCCTAATTGCTGATCATTACCGTTACTAATTGAGGTCGAATATAGGATATTTTATCATTGATAAAGAAGGTTACATTTTATTGAAATATATTGTTAATAAAAATATTTTAAATAATCGGAATATAATTGGAACATTTTCAATTTGAATACAAAATCGGAATACCTTCAAAATTTTTTGGAGTATTTCCTAATACTTTTTATCATATTAAAACTTCTAAATTTTAACTTGAAATATAATCGGAATGTTATCAGTATAATCGGAGTATTTTCAATAAATTCGGGAAAAAATTGGAGTGTATCCGACAAAAATTTTTTATAGGGAATAGGTTATCCGTTCTCTCTATATATATATTTGAACACATATCTTACTTATCTAAAAATTCATAATGTGGGTATCTGATTATACGGAATTTGGAAAAGACGTTAAAGAATTTTTAAATTTTGAAATCATGACGCTGAAAGGTATCCGATATAACTCGTATACGCATATACAGTATATATAGCTTTTAAATAATTCTGGTTATTTAATTTGCTTTTTCTTTTGTATCGGCTTATTTATTTTACACCTTTTTTTTATAAAATTTGCGTAATCTTGAATATAATAAAATATCTTTACCATATTGTTGTTAAGTCTGATCTTAAATCCTGGATATCCTGGATGAGCCTTAAACGCGCGCTCGGAATTAGTGTTGCGATCCTCCAATCCGCCAATCCGCGGATTTATCCGATTTGAAACTGCATGATTTAAAGTAATAATAGTAATTAATTAAATTAATTATAAAATTAAATAAATAATATACTGTATGTGTATAATACATATACAGTATATAATATATACATACAATTTATTTAAAAAACAAAAAAATTAAGTGGCTAATTATTTATTGATGTATAACATCCTTTCGGTTTAATTAACGAATTGAACAAAGGTCATGAACCATATGCATATGTTGAAAGTTTTAAAAATATGATAATATTAAAAAAAAATAAACTTTAACGACCTTGACAAAGAAGGCAATGTATTGTCATTTTTTACGCCAGCAGAGTATTGATTATTATGTAATTATCACTGCACTATTTATAAATCTTTCTATATTAATTTCGTGTCAAATTGATTTTTTTTATTTGATTGTTAATATTTTGTTACGAAATGCATTTCATTTCATTGATATTTCTATAAAATTGATTTTTGATTAAATTGATTAACTTAATTTTCAACTAAATTTTAAATTATTAAGGTTCATAATATAAAATTATAGTTTCGTTATTTTATTTTGTTCTATAAATGCCACATATGCAATAGATGTTGATTTACCTGCTAAATTAAAAGTTTATTAAGTTGTAAATAATTTGTAAAATAAATAAATATATTGTAATTTTTGAATATCATCATTTAGAGTTGCGGCACAGTAATTTTTATTTTATTTATTTTTTTTTTTTCGTTTAAGAAGTTGAAATTTCAAGTTTCAAAGAGCGGGATAGAATTTCCTTATATAAACATGTGATTTCAATAATAAAGATATCTGATATTCTAAATTATATATATTATGATTACAATAAAACCTTATTTCATGCTGTAAATTCGGAGAATTTTTTGTAACATCTTGTACCACCGACAAGCATTTATAATTCCGCCCAAGATCGCCAAAGATCATCATAATGCAGGCCAAAAATCATAATTTCTGATGTCCTATTCGGTTTAAAACGAGGTTAAAGTAAAGACTTTCGTTTAGTTTGTTCTTGGCGTATATAAACAGTTACGCAATTATGCAATGGAGAACAATACTATGAACGAAATGATATTATATGCAATCAATTATATAATTAAAGTTTCACAAAAAGAACAAAGAACATGGATCAAAAGACTATTTTTGTGTTCGTTATTATAAAAGTTTATGATGTATTCTTAATTTTTTAAATCAAACACAGAATTAAATTAATTTCAATGGTGTAAACATATGTGAAACATTACAAAAAATATATTGCATAATATTACAAATTATTTTCACCATGAGAACCCTTGAGAACTTTAATTTTATTTATTTTTTATTATTATTAATTATATTAATTATAGTTAATTCCTAATGATAATTTATTACTAATGATTCTAAAAATATATTACATTAGAAAATTCCAATGAATGCATATTGGCGTTTATTTACCTGCCATCCTTTGTTGTTTAAATGAATTTTTTTATTTTTTTAAAAATTTATTATATCAAGTAGAAGCCTCCTATCATAGTAAATGAATGAAATGAATGATCAATACAAACAACCAAATTTAGGTAAATTATTAAATTTTTTCCCCAAAAAAAACGAGTTTGTTATAAGAAAAAAAGAATTTTAGAATCTGTATTGTGAAATTCAAAATTTTCTTCTCGATATATTGAAAGTATCATTACGATCGTCAAATAAAAATTATTTATCCGCCCATCAGTTTACTACTTTCATAATTTTTTTATATACTTTATTAAATAAAAATATTCTAGAAAAAAATTTATTATTATTTTTTTATGAATGCAACAGGTGAGTAAATTTCAAAATAGTATTGATTATTTGGGTACAAATTTGATGTCTAACTAAAATAGCACAAAACATTTCTTTTTTTCTGTGAATAAAGTTTGTTGAAATAAAACAAAAAAAGTGATTCATTCTAATTATTCTACTAATTGCAGAAACTTAGTTGTCGTGGCACTGATTGTGATTGATTAGGACGTGTATGAATTTATGATTATAAAAAAACTAGTGATACAATTAAGATGTATAGTTATAATAACTTCCCCATAAAGGAAAAATATTCCTTATCTCCTTAGAATCATTCACAATTATCATACGATTGAAAAAAATAAAAACAATCAATATACTTGTTTGGATACGTGTAGTTCATGTAAAAGAAAACAATATCGTGACAATTTTCTTTATTGTGCTAAATAAACTCCCCAACCATTTATTGTGCATATCAAATAGATATTGTATAAAAATCAATAAATAAATTTCAGTTATCAGTATATATCATTCCCTATTCGTATAAGTTATTTAATTAATAATAAGGACCACTCATATTTATTATATTATGAATTACCAAATCGTTCGTGTAACGCAGAGATATTTTATATAATATTAAAACAAGATATTTCTTTTAAATGTAGTCTTTGATTAGTGTTTTACGCCCCGCTCGGATGAAATACGTCAATGAATCTGGGTTACTGCTAAAAATGTAGTATAGGCAGGCTAAAAATTTGTGGTGCAGACCCCAATGCAGAATAAATTTTTTACATAAAAGTTTTGCTACGTCAATTTGGTAAATATTGGGCAGTACTATAAACTTGATTTTTAATAATCTATTTAAAATAATTAAGCTATTTAATAATATTATTAGATATTCCTCCTTATTTATTAATCAAAGATATCATCAAAGGCGTCGTCAGAGATAGTGTAGACGCGCGTTGATCAATGCATCTACTGTACAGTACATTGAATTAGTTCGTCTGCTTCTAATAACCTACATGTTAATACTTTTTTAAACGGGTTCTTTTTATTAAATACATTTCCCCCTTATTATATTGTTAGAAATATTTCATAAAAAAAAATAATAATAAATAATATCTGATATGATATATAGGTTAGTATAAATTTTTTGAATTTTTCCACTCGGTCACATGATAAATCTACGTCTGATCGTTAACCTTATTCAATCAATCGTCAGTAGATCGTTAATACGTTTATCAAAAATCGACTTGATGTATTCCGATTTTTGCCATTGGTCAAAGTATGGCGATTCACATGACCAATTGGTAATGATCTGTGATATTATTTTTTTTTTTCAATTAGCTACCTGTATATATTTTTCTCGAGAAGTCAAGAACTATGTAATGCAAACCCCATTTCCATTATTACCATATTGAATAAATTCGCTAATTATACTAATTAGACAAGTATGAACAATATATCTGAGGAGTGAGGGCTTAAGATTCCTATTGCTTTGATTTATCAAGAAAAATAATCTTTTTATTAGACTTCGGAGCATTTGACGCATGGGTACCAGAAATGGTAAGTTTTGTAACTAAAAAATTGAGGAAACTTTTGTCTTTATTTATTTATTTATTTATTTATTTTTTTAAAAAAAATGGAAACGTTTATTAATGTTCTTATTTTTATAGATTTTGGTTCGAGATACTGGAGTTCAGAACGCTGAAATAGTAAGTTTCGCAACAAAAAATTTTATGAATAATATCATGATATATCTAATACTGTTACATTTATTTAAGTAGAAGGAAATGAAGAAATTCTAGACGGATATAATCCTTTGAAATGAAAATTAGCTCTCAGTTTGTCAAAACTAAAGATAGTTTTATTTTTTCTTTAATAGTAACAATATTAAAGATACAGTAATAAGTAAATATAGATTATTCACTATATTATCATTCTCAACATGGTCCATACTTTGGTGATGATATTGTTATATAGAATTCTAAAGATAAATTCACAGATTAAGGATATAATAAAAAAAAGATGAAATTCTAAAGATCATTTTTCTATGGAGATCTCTAAGTAGTAGACTCTTCTAGTTATTGTTATTTAAGATTTCTTTATTAAACTAGTAGAGATAGCCCTAATCAACTAAAAGACTGAAACTCTACAAAAATAATATATAAAAATGTTAATAAACATTTCTAACTAAATTATTAAAAATTGAGGTTTTAAAACATCTTTAGAAGTAAATCCATTTCAACTTCCTTTCAATAGTAGTTTAAAAAATTTTCTAATTTTTACTTTATCAATCTATCTTGAAATAAATGAAACAATATTTAAATTAAATATATTCAAATCAATTTTGTTTATTATAATATTTCTAGAAAGTAAAATATTATTAGTTGATATACCATTAGAATTCATATAAGGATATATTAAGCCTTTATAAAGTTGTCAATCTAAGAGTTTTTGATATGGTTGAACTTTTTCTAAAAAATTTAATTAAAGGTAAATAATATTGTAAAGTATTTTTATTGTTTTGAAATTATTATCAGATCAAGTTTTAGAATCTGGAATAAGAATTAAATTTTGTATAAGATTCCATTTCCTATACTTCAATTTCTTTTATTTGTAAATCATTCTTTTTGGTAAAATTAAGAACTTCTCAGGATTTTATATTATACTATATATAATTGAGAATTAAATTTAAATAAAATACATATTATATTTTCATTTTAAATTTAATTATGTTAATGTATCATTACTTATAATGATGATATTATATCTGTTGCTTATTACCTGATCCATTTACAATATTTTGTTGTTAAAGTTTGCCAAATAGTTTTGTAATACTACAGACTGTGATCCAACTTCTTAAATTACTTGTTTAACTGGAAAATCATCAATAGTAAATTCTTACAATAGAGAATTATAAGTATTTCTTATTCTATTACTTCATTAAATTAATTAAAATTATATTATTGAATATTTGGATTAAGATTTTTGCAGGTAAAATTTAAATAATATTTGTTTCATATTAGTTTGTATTCTTTGGTATATTTGATAAGGGTAATAGCATTTGTTATGTTTGCATAAACTCATTCTTGTTTATAAGTAAATTATTCAACATTTTATATTTACCTTTTGAAGCAGAAAATTTATTCTTTTGAAATATAAATTTTACTATCATATCAAAGCTCTAGAGTAAATTTTATGATACATTAGTTCTTAAATTAAAATTTAATCAATATTTGAAATTTTGAATTAATTAAACAAATTAATCAAAACCAAATAATTTTAGACTATTCTTATTGATCTTTTAGAAAAATTAATTAAAATAAAACTATTGATATAATACCAGATTCTAAACATCAATGGTTTCTTTTTTAGCAGTTCTTTAAAACATCGAGGTTGGTAGATCATATCTAAAATTAATTAGTTCTGGTTAATTTAGCTTTTTTTTTTTTTAAAAAAAAAGAGTTTGAAAATTGTAAATAAAGTATTATTATTATATTTTGCACTAATTAAATACTTTATCAAATAAATATCTATATACATAATAAGTAAAAGAGTATAGCGAATATACTTATATTACTTTACTGATCATTTACCAATCACTTAATTTCAGATTTTAAAAACTTATTGAAAAATCACAAATATTTTTAAAATAATGTGGCAAAAAATAATGAAAAAGTATTAAATTATTATATATAGTAGTAAATTTAATTATATTATTATTAGTAAAATTTTTAATATTGTTATTACATTATTTGTATATAAATAATATAATGATTTATTTATTTTTCTCAATTATCAGTCAAAAATTGATTTGCAAAGATGAATATATATCTGTGAAACTTGAAACTTTGTATAAATATTCTTTATATTATATATAATATATAGTAAAAATAATGTAATGATCTGATCCATAATGCAAGTTTTTTACTAATAAGATATTTAATATATAATTTCACAAAATGATGAATAAATAAATGTCAAATAAATTAATACCACAAAATTAAGTAAATACCATAATATAATTAAGGTTGCCTGCCTAAACCTCTCCAAAATTCTACGATTAGTTTCTCCAAGATTTTACTATAGTTTTATTATAGTTTCGGCAAAATTTTAGCAGTTTTGGCATTTATAATAAGTTTCATCAGGTTTTGCTTTTCTCCAGAGTTTCACTAACTTTAATAAGACTTTCATATAGTTTCGGCAAAGTTTTGCTATTTCAGCATTTTGCCAACTTGCCAAAACCCCTTAGTTTCTTCAGCAACCTTAAATATAATTAAATAAATTTTATTGTTTTATTAGTTTTTTAAAAGAATCTACAAAGTATAAATAATTAATTTTATGTAAAAGATTATATCAATTTATATAAATATTTATCTAGTTTAATAAAAATTCAGAATAATAATAAAAATTAAAAAGTTGCTATTAATAAAAGTTACTTAATAATAATTTAACTTTGATAAAATTTAATATACAATAAATTGAAACTAAATTTATATTATTTGTAAAATTTAAGTATATAATATTATGTAAAATTTTTTAACAATCACATTAATTACATTTATATTATGTGATGATATAACTGAATAAATAATCAGCAAATGATTGATAAATAGTCATCAAAATTGTGATAAAATAGAGATATCTGCTATGCTAAGTAGAAGTACAGTCAGACCTCTATAATTGTACTCTCCATAATTGCATCCACTATGTATACCCTCTCTAAATGCACCCTCTGGTTCGGTCCTAAGCTTATATGATCTCTAATTATTTTACCTCTATAAATGCACATCCTCTTTAAATGCACTATTTTGAAAATTATGCATATGGTCCCAAGAGGTGTGCAATTATGGAGGTCTGACTGTACATACAAAGTTTTCATATACAAAATTTGCACAAATTTCACACACTCAAATACAGATTATTAATAATATATATGACAATAGTAATTCTTACAAATAAAATTAATTTATCATCACTATCAGTATAAAATAAATAATTTTTTCCAACAATATTGGATATATAAAATTCTTATAATTAAAAAAACCTAAGAATTAAGTTTAAAAAAATATTGAAAAGTTTTGTTCAACTTTATTACTTCCTTTAAATAAGTGATTCATAAACTATCATAAGCTTTATTCTTTATGAAATTCTCTCATTTAATGAATATTTGACATTATTAAAAGTCTTTAATTCATGAATTATGTTAATATAATATTTCAATATAGATTTGTCTTTCAGTATAATATAAAGTTAAATAAAATGCATTATTGAAAATATAACTAAATCATAGGATAGAAGAGATCAATAAATTTGTAATGTAAAAATAAACTAGTTCATCAAATATTACCAGTTATAGAAATAAAAACAGAATATGGAGAAAAAAATAATAATACAGATTTACTAGCTGATTTTTCTTCAGATCAAAAGAATTTTTATTATTTACTAAGAAATGGCATTCTTTTAAAAATATGCTGCAGCAAGTGTTAGAGAAAAAAGAAAAAATAAGTAAATTGTAAAGCTAAAGCTGAAAAAAAAGAACATTCATATGAAAAAGAAAATAAAAAGAGAAAATGTGAAAGAGTAAAAAAACTAATAAAAATCAAGATCAGCAATATGAACATTATTATCAACTAGTAAATTTTGTTCCTGTAAGAGAATCAAGATGCAAATCTTATATTTTAGATAATAAAGAAGAAGAACAATACAGATAAGCTAAAAGAAAACTGAAATAGAAATGACTTTTAAAGAAATATAAATTATTAAATTTTATTTTTGGATTATATATACTAATTTTAATACATATAAGCATATTTTTAGAATAGCCTTATTAATCTGATATAGATTAAATTGACATATATTTTAAAATTAATATATGATCTAAATTATCAGTTTATTTTAATAATATTTTAAAATTATATAAATGATACTTTTCTTATATAATTAATCATACTAATTTGAAATATATATTGTTTTAGTTATAATAAATTTAACTAATTGATTCAGGTAAAAGGTATATCAATAATATATTAAATTATTAATTCTAATCAAATGTTCTAAATAGAAGGATGTGTCAAATTTCAAAAATGCGCTTATATGAATAATTATTATCTTATATTAGAGAGAAAAAAGATAGTAACATAGAGAAAAAATAAGAGCAAGTAATAAATCATGAATGTGAAGTAAATGAGATTTAGATATTAAAGAAAAACAAATTTGAGATTGAGAAATAATGGTAAAAAAGTTAGTAAAATGGAGCAATAACATTGAAGCTGATAGTGATTAAAAAAAATATTACAAAAACAGATAGATATATATTATAATTACTTTAAGAATAAATTATGAATTTTAACTTTTTTTATAATTTATATAAATCTTATTAGTGGTTCTATTGAGAGTAGAGTTTGGAATTGATTAAGGTTAATCAATTAATTAATCAACTAAGATGGTTAATTGATTAAAGTATTTTAAAAATTGGTTAATCGATTAAAGTATCTCAAAAATCAGTTAATTGATTAAAATTATCAACTCATAATTCTGGTCAAATTATCTAATGCAGCAGGCCCTGCTTACTTATAATAAAGGTCACTATAAAAAATTGGCCTTTTACTAATAGTTTTTACCTTACTTTTTTTTTAAATTCTATTGGTTAATTAGCTAAAAAGGAAAAAAATCATAACAATGTAACCTAAAAT